TCTGTCACCCAGGTTGGATGCAGTGGCTTGATCTCAGCTCAGTGCAGCCTCTGCTTCCTGTGCTCAAGTGATTCTCCAGCTTCAGCCTCCTAAGTAGCTGGGACTACAGGTGTGTGACAGCACACTCACCTAGTCTTTTTATTTTTTTGGAGTCTTGCTTTGTTGGCCAGGCTGGTCTTGAACTCCTGGGCTCAAGTGATCCGCCTGCCTTGGCCTCCCAAAGTGCTGAGATTATAGGTGTGAGCCACTGTGCCCAGCCCCAGTGGGATTTTGCTTGGGGTCACATTGAGTCTGTTGATCACTTTGGGGAGTATAACTGATCATAGCAATATTAAATCTTCCAATTCATGAACATGGATGTCTTTTCCTTTAATTTAGGTTAATCCAAGTAATTTTAATCACTATAATTTAGAGCTGAGGGATTGGGGAGGTTCTATCCATGCATTTTATGGTGGATAGTATCTGGTAGACCAGAGGAACTCAAATATTGATGGGATGAATGAATAAACCTTGATAACATTCACTTAAAGGACGATGCTTTTTAGTTGCTGATGGAGAAGGGGTGTAGGAATACTAAGATATTTGTGTGTTGTGTATGTGTGCGTTCATGTTCCAGATTTTCCTAACCTTTCATAGTGTGTTGAGGATATGGTTCCTGGGCTGATAAAATCAACAAGTGGCATCGGTGTTGGGGATGTTGGTTCGTAAATGAATGTCTGGGGATGCCGTCACTTCCTTTGCTGGGACAGGGGTATCCTACTCCTACTGTGTCCTAGAGTGGAAGTTAGAATTGGTGTTTGAGGCCAGGCACAGTGACTCATGCTTGTAATGCCGGCACTTTGGGAGGCTGAGGCGGGCAGATCACTTGAGGCCAGGAGTTTGAGACCAGCCTGGCCAACATGATGAAACACTATCTCTACTAAAAATACAAAAATTTGCTGGGCTTGGTGGTGCACACCTGTAATTCCAGCTATTCGGGAGGCTGAAGCACAAGAATTGCTGGAACCCAGGAGCCAGAGGTTACAGTGAGCCAAGATCACGCCACTGCACTCCAGCCTGGGTGACAGAGTGAGACTCTGTCTCAAAAAAAAAAAAATAATTGGCATTTGAAACTTTGGGTAGCACCCAAAAGATACCAAGACAGAGAAAGCTGTGTGCCAAAAGGAGACAGCTCTGGCTGACTCACCTTCCTTTTTATTCCATTGGCCCCTTTTTGTGTCACTGTTTTCTGTACTCTGCCATCACGTTTCCTGGTTGGGTCTGCAGAGTCCCAGTTGGACTTTTTAATGGAGGCCTCCGAGGTCTGTCTTAACCGTCGGTTTTTCAGTGGACTTCATTAGGATCTGGCGCCCTGTCGCTGAGCCAACTCTTGACGAGCCAGGCGGGGGGGCCACTGCCGGTGGCACAAGCCTTCCTGGCCTGATTTGGCAGCGACTAGACAGGGCCTCATCAAGGTCTCGGGAGACCACAGCTTCTCACACCTCTTCTTTCGGGATGTTATCTGGTATGTGCTCTGTAATTTTCCCGGATGTCCCAGCTGCTGCTGAGGTCCATGCAGGTTGTTTTCCATAGGTTGGATGAGAAGGTGCTTTGGATGGTGCAGGCGAATGGGCTTGTTTTGCAGTGACATAGGAGCTTCAAGACTCAGACTGGATTGGCCCAGCGTTTTTACTTGCCCAGACACTGTCCTCGGGGCAGGGAGGCCAGAGGTGCTTGGTGGCTGTTGATACCTGGTGTTCCTTTGAACTCCTGGAATTTTTTCAGTTTTTTCGCCAGAGAAGCTCGTCTTTAGACTCTCCGGCTCTGGGGGTCTGGTTTTGTCCTGGGAGGTGGCCCACACTGGCCACTTCACACCTGACTGGAGGCCTCAGACGCCGCCTACAGATTGCCTGTGTTCCAGGTATTTGAGGAGTGAGCTGGTAACAGGGCACCTGTCCTTTGGAGGGGTAGAATCAGAAAGTGTTATTGAGGGCTGTGACGACAGGGAGAAACGTTTTTGGGTTTCTGCTTCTCTGGAAGTATCTGTGCTTCTCTGCACCTCTTGTTGGCACCCTTCGCACTAAGGCATGGTGGCACTAGCTGGGAAGCCCTTCCAGGAGCATGTGGCCGTCCCAGTGGGTCTGCGAGCCCCTTGCTGCACTTTGCACATGCAGTTGCTGTGGTTTAGTGTGTTCAGAGCACGAATCTGGAGTCCACGCATCCTGCTGGTTCCATGACCATAGGCAAATTACTGGCTTCAGTTTCCTCATATGAAAAATAGGGACATGAAGGCATCCTCTGCAGGGCTGTTACTGGGAAGGTTAGGTAATAACGTCAGTAAATGATGGCCATGGTGACCACAGATGGGGGTGCTCAGGGAATCCCCACCCTCATGCAGCATGGCCGTCATCTCGGTCGTCAGCGCTGCCTTGCCTGGCCTTGGCTGCTCTCTGTCGGCTGCTCAGCATCAGGTTCACAGTCTGCTCTGTGCTGTTCTCAAATCCAGAAAGCCCTGAAAACTGATCTTGTTTTACTTCTCACGTGGGCAGCCAGACCTGAGTTGGATGGACGTGCGCAGTGCTTAGTGGACTTGACCCCCCAAAGGTGCTAATCACAGTGGGACTATGCGAATATGTTGGGGGCACCCAGCCATCATTGTAAGGATGGGTTTCTTCATTTTCTTTGTTTTTTGAGACAGGGTCTTGCTCTGTGTCCTAGGCTGGAGTACAGTGGATGATCACAGCTCACTGCCACCTCAAACTCCTGGGCTCAAGCAATCCTCCCACCTCAGCCTTCTGAGTAGCTAGATTTACAGGTGCACACCACCATGCCCGACTAATTTTCAAAAGTTTTTGTAGGTCTCACTGTTGCCCAGGCTGGTGATTAACTCCTGACCTCAAGTGATGCTCCCACCTCAGCCCCCCAGTGTGCTGGGGTTACAGGCATGAGCCACTGTGCCTGGCGCCCTTTGCTGCTTTGGATGGTCCCATTACCCAGGTGGCTGGTGGTGGCCAGCTTGTCTGTGGGCGACCCTGCAGTCAGCCCTGCAGTCCAGAGCTTGCCCTCCCTGTGACAAGGCCTCCGGCTGGACTGCCCCAAAGCAGAGGGCAGGCATGAGTGAGGGTCCTGAGCAGCTGGGGAAGAGCAGTGGGAGATGACGGTGGTAGAGCCAGGGAGCACTTCTCTTTCCTCTTTTGGGTTCACAGCAGGTTGAGCAGGATGGAGGCCCAGAGTCCCAGTGCTTCCTGAAGGGCCACTCAGGCTGATGGGGGCCTCGAAGCTCCTTGAATGCTGCAGGAAGGTGAATCGGAGGAATGGATCTGCTTAGGTGTTGACAGCAAAGGGGTGGCATTTGAGGCTATGGGCTTTCTACAGGGACCACTGCACTGGAGAAGAAAGTTGGTGGTGGCCAGGCTATATTCGAGGAGAAAGGGGGGCTGTTTTTCTTCCTATGCAGTTGGAAGTTTCTAGGAAGCCCCTAAGGTGCAGGGAGTTGGGTGTGTTGTGGGAGGGGGTCCATGTGATGTGGACCTTCTTCTCCATTGGGGTGGATGAATAGTAACAGCTCTTCTGGGACTGTGTGCTCCCAAAAGTATGGGGTTTTGTTTGGGGATTCAAGTATGACAAGTCACTGAAATGAAGAGGGGTTCAATTAGCCATAAAGGGGCTTTAGGTGTTAGATGCCGGTTAGGTCAGCTGGTTTCCAAGGTGACCACGTGTCTCCCTGATAGGGACTTCACCGTTTCTCAGCCACGCCGGTCTCTCCAGAAAGATGCCACAGACAAGAAAAGCTCTCCCATCCTGGTCCCTCCCACCGCAGGTCCAAGGTGGACAGTGTCCTCAGGAGCTAGCTTTGGGCTCCCCCGTAGATCCTGGGTCTGCAGGAGGCTCTGGGGCTGGGAACCAGAGGTCAGGAGCTGTGACTGTCCCATTTTCCTGGCTTAGCTACTAGCCCAGCTCTCCTGTCTACCTACTGTCTCTCTTCTCTGAGTCCCAGGGAAGAGAGCATTTGGAGCCCATCTGGGGAAGGTCTGAGTAGTCAGGGACCTGAAGGTTACTATCCTATCCTCCCTGGGGTGGCTTTGGTTTGTTGAGTGCATTCTGCATGCCAGGCTGGTTCGTAGAGGTGCAGTGTTGGACAAGACACCTGTGGTGAGTGCCCCTCTGTGCCCCGTCTCAAAGGGAAGGACGGTACAGGAACAGGTGATTACCGTCATGAGCGCTCTAACAGGATCCCTGGGAGGGGCCCTGAACCCAGTGCAGTTGGGCAGGAGGGGCTTCCAGAAGAAAGCAGCCTGTAAACTGGCCAGGCGGGATGAATGGGCATCAGCCAAGTGGCTTGGCGGGGTGGGGTTGGCCTTCCGGGCTGGGAGAACAGAGACCGATTGTGTGACCCCTTGCGGTCTTTCTTGGGGAGCAGACAGAGGTGGGAAAGGTGGGCAGGGTCCGAGCCTGTGGGTGCGGCTGTGGAAGGTCTCGAGCTGTGTGCTGTGGCAAGAAGCATGCACCCTCTGTCCTCTCCTAGAGCTGCTATAACCGGTGGCTTAAAACAACGGGCCTTTCTTTCCCAGTTCTGGAGGCCAGGAGTCTGAAGTCAAGGTGTGGGCTGGTGGGCGGGGCTGGCTTTGCCGGCTCTAGGGGAGGGTCCTTCCCCGCACCTCGAGCTCCTTGTATGTGCTGCCATCCTTGGCACTTACTGGCTTGTAGACAGGGCTCCAGTCTGTGGAAGGCCAGTGTCTTCACACACGTTCACTCCGTGCGTGTCCATCTCTATGTCCAAATGGCCCCCTTTCGTAAGGACACCAGTCATACTGGATTAGCGTTCACCTGAATTACCTCGTTTAACCTCACGGTCTCTGCAAAGCCCCCATCTCCAAATAAAGATCACACTCTGAGGCTTGGGGTTTAGAGCCCCCATCGTATCTTTCTGGGATACACAGTTTGCTCCCTAATACCCTTTCCGGGGGTCTGGCGGCGCCTGCAGCCTCCCCGTCTGACCAGTTCTGTCTGTTCCCCTGCAGAACCGGGCTGTGGGTCGGCCCAAGGGGAAGCTGGGCCCGGCCTCCGCGGTGAAGTTGGCCGCCAACCGGACAACGGCAGGAGCTCGGCGGCGCCGGACGCGATGCCGCAAGTGCGAGGCCTGCCTGCGGACCGAGTGCGGAGAGTGCCACTTCTGCAAGGACATGAAGAAGTTCGGGGGCCCCGGGCGCATGAAGCAGAGCTGCATCATGCGGCAGTGCATCGCGGTGAGTGCAGCCCCCGTCCAGCCCTGCGCTGGATCCAGCCCCTGCGTGCCGGGCCGCGTGTCTGACAGCTGCTAGCTCTGGCCGCCCCTCTGCACACAGAGAAGCCGGGGCTGTGGACTGCCCGAGAGCTCTTCCTGTGGACGGGAAGGCGCCGGCCGCTTTGCAGGCTCAGGCCTCCTGCTCCTTCCCTCCCAGGGTGCCCAGGTACTTTGAAGTTGCTGCCATTAAAGATGACAAGCAGCCTGTCCTGTCTGTGACCCCGTTGCCAACATTATGGTCCAGTTGGTGATGGTTCTGGGCCCTTCCTTCCTTCCGGCCCTGCCTTCAGAGTCAGAAGTCTGGGTGGAAGGTCAGCGCCCCATCTCAGGGGGCTGCCCCCAACAAGGAGTGATTTATGGTGCCGAGGAACCGCGCCTGGGAGAGCCTGGCCTGCTCCTCTACACCGCCTGGCCTCACCTCCAGCAGTGGCCCCGCACCGCTGGTCTTGTACCTGGACCGGGCAGTGGACGTGGACTTCCGCAACGGGGCGAGGTCGCGGGGTTTGCCCTTGAATCGCCTTGTACACACCCACATGCTCTGCCTTCCCCAGGGCGCTGCTCCCCGGGGGCCGGCGATCCTCCCTGTGGAGGAGTCGTCTCCCAGTCCCCGTGGAAAAGCAGGCTCGGCTGGAGGGACGGGATTCCTCGGCCTTGGTGCGCTCATCTACAGGCCCAGCCTGGCATAGGGTGAGCCCTTCTTCCTTGGCTGCTGATGCCCCCCAGGCCCAGACACCTCACCCATCTCCTTCCACGCATATTTCTTGTGTTTTGTTTTTTTAAATTGTGGTCAACAAATACATTAATCATTTTTAAGTATGCAATACAGTAGTATTATATGCACGTTTTTGGGAAGCTGATCCCTAGAACTTTTTCATTTTGCAAAACTGAAACTGCATACCTATTGAAGCTCTACTCTCCTTTTCCCTCCCTCAGCCCTCCGGCAACCACCATTCCACTTTCAGTTTCTAAGAGCTTGGCTCCTCTCTGGACCTCATAGAAGTGGAATCATGCAGTAATTGGCTTTCTGTGATTGGATTGGCTTGTTTATAGCCCTGAGCATAATGTCCTCAGGGTTCATCCATGTCGAAGCATATGACAATTTCCTTTTTTTTTTTTTTTTTTAATGGCCAATTAATACTCTATTGTGTATTTGCACCAAATTTTCTTTTTTTTTTCTGAGATGGAGTCTCACTCTGTTGCCCAGGCTGGAGTGCAGCGGTGGAATTTTGGCTTACTACAACCTCCGCCTCCTAGGTTCAAGCAATTCTCCTGCCTCAGTCTCCTGAGTAGCTGGGATTACAGGCACCCGCCACCACATCGGGCTAATTTTTAAATTTTTAGTACAGGGCCTCATCATGTTGGCCAGGCTGGTCTCGAACTCCTGACCTCAGGTGATCTGCCCACCTTGGCCTCCAAGAGTGCTGGGATTATAGGTGTGCGCCACCGCGCCGGACCAAAACTTTCTCTATCTGTTCATCTGTTGATGGACGTATGGGTTGCTTTCACTTGTTGCCTATTGTGAATAGTGCTGTAGTGAACATCGGTGTGCAGACACCTCTTTGAGATCGTGTTTTGAATTCTTCTGGATATACAGTTGAACCTTGAAACAACACAAGGGTTGGGGCACCACCTGACCCCTGTGCAGTTGAAAATCTGAGTGTAACTTTTGACTCCCCTAAAACTTAACTACTGTTAGCCTCTTGTTGACCAGAAGCCTTATCAGTAACAAAAACAGTCCATTAACACATATTTTATGTTATATGTATTATATACTGTATTCTCACAATAAAGTAAGCTAGAGAAAAGAAAATATTAAGATCATTAGGAAAATATATTTATCGTTCATGAAGTGGGAGTGGATCATCGTAAAGGTCTTCATGCTCATCATCTTCACATTGTGTAGGCAGAGGAGGAGGGGTTGGTCTTGCTGTCTCAGGGTGGCAGAGGCAGAAGAGATGAAGGAGATAGAAGGGGGAGGCAGGAGACGTAGGCACACTCAGTATAACTTTTATTGAAAAAAAAATCCACATATAAGTGAACCCACATAGTTCAATCCTGTGCTGTGTAAGGGCCAACTCCGTGCCCAGAAGTGGGCTTGCTGGGTCATATGATGATTCTATTTTTAGCTTTTTGAGGAACCTCTGTACTGTTGGCCACTGTGGCCGTGCCGTTTCACATTCCCACCACGGGTGCATGAAGGTTCCTGTTTCTCTCTCTCTTTTTTTTTTTTTTTTTTTTTTGAGACGGAGTCTTGCTCTGTTGCCCAGGCTGGAGTGCAGTGGTGTGATCTCGGCTCACTGCAAGCTCTGCCTCCCGGTTTCACGCCATTCTCCGGCCTCAGCCTCCCAAGTAGCTGGGCGCCTACCACCACGCCTGGCTAATTTTTTGTATTTTTAGTAGAGACGGGGTTTCACCATGTTGGCCAGGATGGTCTCGATCTCCTGACCTTGTGAGCCGCCCACCTCGGCCTCCCAAAGTGCTGGGATTACAGCCGTGAGCCACCGCTCCCGGCGAAGGTTCCTGTTTCTCTGCATCCCCATCAACATCTGTTACGTTATGGGCTTTTAGTTTGTTTTTAGTAGCCATCCTAATGTGTATGAGGTGACATCTCAGTGTAGTTTTTATTTATTTTTCCCTAATGCCTAGTGATGTTGAGCATCTTTCACCTTTCAAGTGCTTATTGGCTGTTTGTCTGTCTTCTTTGGAGCAATGTCTGAGTCCTTAGACCGTTTTTAAACTGGTTTTCTTTTCTTTTTTTGAGACAGAGTCTCACTCTTTTGCCCAGGCTAGAGTGCGATGGCGCAGTGTCGGCTCACTGCAACCTCTGCCTCCCGGGTTCAAGCAATTATCCTGCCTCAGCCTCCCAGGTAGCTGGGGTTACAGGCACGTACTACCACACTCAGCTAATTTTTGTGTTTTTGGTAGAGGCAGGTTTTCACTTTATTGAGCAGGCTGGTCTCAAACCCCTGACCTCAGTTGATCACCGCCCCGCCCCCGCCCCCCGCTTTGGCCTCCCAAAATTCTAGGATTACAAGTGTGAGCCACTGCACCTGGCCTAAATCGGTTTTCTTTTGGGGGTTTTTGTTGTTGAGTTAGAGGAGTTCTAAATATGTTTTGGATATTAACCCTTATCAGGTCTCTGGTTTGCAAGGATTTTCTCCCATCCTGTAGGTTGCCTTTTCCTCTGTTGATTCTTTCCTTTGCTGCAGAAGTTCAGTTTCACTGCTTGTGCTTTTAATTGGTACCCGAACCCCAGGATATTTTCATGGATTTCGGGGAATTTGTGAGCCATCCTGAAATTAAATGCATTTTTGTCTGTGTGCATGCATGGATGTACATTTTTTGGAGACAGGGTCCATGTGACCCATTGGATCCTATAGAATTTAAAAGAGCTTGTCTATAGCAACTGTTGGTTTTTAGAATGGTGTCACCTAAAACTCAAGTGTGTGCCAGCAATGAATCCACAACTGTCTTTTTCTCTTTGGCATTACTTTTTCTCCCACCCCCCGTGTGCTGGGCCCGGTTATAGGAAACTTGTCTCAGGTGCCCCCTTATCTTTGCTACTCTGGTTCCTGGCACAGTGCATGCTGTTTGAAGGAAACCCCATTTTTTTATGTCTCCTACTCTCTTCAGCTTGACATAGCTTCTGGAACGGATGGCAGACGCAGGCTTGGCCTGACCCTTGGTGTCCTTCTTACTCTTCTCCCAGGCCTTCTGCTCTGCCAGGGCACTTCTCACGCATTACCCACCTATGACATACGCAGCCCCACCTATCTTCCTCTTCTGTCCCCTCCCTTTGCTCCGTCGCTGGGGCTGCCTCCGTAGCTTCCTCCCCTCTCCACCATGTCCCTGCTGGTGTCCCGGCTGGTGCCGTGCAGTCTGCCCTCTAACATGAGCCCCAAGCCCCCCGCCAGCCCCTGTAGGAGATTTGCCTCTTGCGCCACCTCCCATCCTGCCACCTGGCTCAGAGCCAGTTCTGCCATCTGCCCCACCCCACCACAGACCCTCTTCTTGCCGTGTGGGCCGTGCTTCACCCTCTGCCCCCCACTGCAGTCTGGTCTCCAGCCGTCCCCTTTGGCCCGGCCTGCTCTGCGCAGGCTGCTCTGTCCTCATTCACCTTGAGGCCCTGCGGCCTTGCCCACTTGGCTTCTCTCCACCCTGTCCCGAGTCCTCCAGAAATCAGCCTCTGCTGCTTCTGAGAACTCTTGAATATGACTTTTCCATGTTTTCTTTGGATTTCAGCGACTAATGTCTTTTTCTTCCCAAATAGCTCACGGGGAGCAGCCATCTCCCTCACTCCTGCGTCCCCCAAGACTTTGTTTCTGACCGTGGCAGATGTGTGTTTGGTATTTGTGGAAGGAACGATGACTGCCTTGCCTTCTGTGTCCTGTTTATTAGAATTCAGACATTTGCGCCATTTAATCAAGTCTTTTTCACTTGCCAGTGGCGTGTATATTCCCTGCTTGAAGCTCCTCTGAGCAGCGTAATAAAGGTTGGCTACGGGTGCACTGGGCGGGATGAGGCTGACCCGCCCTGGCCTCAGGGGGCTCACAGCCGGGTGCACCAAGTTCTCACACTTCAGGGTCTCAGGAACCCTTCATGCTCTTAAAAATTATGAAGACCCTAAAGAGTTTTTCTTTTATGCAGGCTATGTATTTATTAATACTGACTGTATTAAAAATTTAAACTGAGTTTGGTGTGAGAGGACTTTAGCTAAAAAAAAAAAAAAAAAAAATTAAAACTGATTTTTTTTTTTTTTTTTTGAGACAGAGTCTCACTCTGTCACCCAGGCTGGAGTGCAGTGGTATACTCGTGGTTCACTGCAGCCTCTACCTGCTGGGCTCAAACAGTCCTCTTACCTCAGCCTCCCAAGTAGCTGGGACTGCAGGCATTCACTACGCCCAGCTGATTTTTGTATTTTTTGTAAAGACAGGGTTTTGCCACATTGCCCAGGCTAGTCTCAAACTCCTGGACTCAGGCAATCTGCCTGCCTTGGCCTACCAAAGTGCTGGGATTACAGGCATGTGCTATCACTCCTGGCCAAGAAATTTTTTTTTAGATTTTAAATTTATCTTAAAATAACAAGAAAGCCCATGACGTGTTAATAGAAATAACATATTTTGGCCGGGCACGGTGGCTCAAGCGTGCAATCCCAGCACTTTGGGAGGCTGAGGTGGGAGGATCACTTGAGGTCAGGAGTTTGAGACCAGCCTGGCCAACATGGTGAAACCCCATCTCTACTAAAAAAAACAAAAATTACCCAGCATGCCTGTAGTCCCAGCTACTTGGGAGGCTGAGGTGGGAGAATCGCCTGAACCCAGGAGGCAGACGGAGGTTGCAGTGAGCCAAGATCACGTCAGTGCACTCCAGACTGGGCGACAAAGCAAGACACTGTCACAAAAATAAATAAGAAAAAAGAAACATATTTTTATGAGAAATAATTACATTTTCCAAAAACAAAAATAAGAATAATGGCATTGTTTTATATTTTTGTAAATCTCTTTTATGTCTGGTTCATTAGAAAGGGCTTGGAATTGCTGGGCATGGTGGTTCACACCTGTGATCCTAGCACTTTGGGAGGCTGAGGCAGGTGGATCACGAGATCAGGAGTTCAAGACTGGCCTGGCCAACATGGTGAAAGTCCCTGTCTCTACTAAAAATACAAAAAAGTAGCTGGGTGTGGTGGCGGGCGCCTGTGCTACTCGGGAGACTGAGGCAGGAGAATCGCTTGAACCCAGAAGGCAGAGGTTGCAATGAGTCGAGACTGTGCCACCGCACTCCAGCCTGGGCGACAGAGCAAGATTCTGTCTCAAAAAAAAAAAAAAAAAAAACCCTTTTTTTTTTTTTTTTTTTTTTTTTTGAGACAGAGTTTTGCTTTGTCGCCCAGGAATTTTCATATCTGCTTCTGTGTTTTGTCTATTGTGATATGTTGTTTTGGAGGGAGTATGAGGAAAATTCGGCCTCACACAGATATATACTAGTTGGAAAAGGGAGGAGTATTTTAATAGCCTTTTGGATAATTGTGGATACTCTGATACTCAACTAGAACTCAGCAGAGTTTTCTTTAAAGGTTAGTTGCAATGTGGAGTCTGAAACTGTATCAGTGAGCTGTTCACACTGTTACATTGAACTTCATCAGCATGTCTTGCCCTTTGAGTAGCTCATTTGCTCAGGCATGATGTTGTAACACCATGTATTGGTCATCTGGAAAATATTGGCTCCCTGAGTTAGGCAGATTTTCCAAATATTGGCACATAATATTATTTTAGAAATCACATTTGTTAATATGATCACTGATCTCATCGGAAAAGTCTCTCAGTATTGGGAAGCTGTGCAGGTTATGGTGGTTCGTGTAAGTTTTCCAGAAGTCTAATTGTCATTCAGAAACTTGAATTTTGTCATTTGCAACAAATGCGGTCAGTTATTTTTCTGGAAATGACAAGCTCACTTCTTTGATCTTCACAGAAATACACCAATGTCCAGGGGCTTTCTATCAGTCATTCCTTCAAGTAAAAATAATCTATGGAGAAAGTGGCCATTTCGGCTCCCAGCTCAGTCACGAGTGCCTTTCCTTTGGTACGCATCACCTGTGTGCCGAGGCACTTTACACATATTCTTATCGTCACAAAGCATCTGAAAAGGATGTGTACTCTAGGGCAAGGTTTTCATAAAGTAATTTTTACTGTTTCATCAGAGATATTCTTAGATGAAACTGGGGATCTTTTTAATAAGTGTGTGGCCGTGAGTCCCTTCATGGCTGCTGGTGCAGCTGGGGGCCTTGCCTTGACTGGTGCTGAGGGGCCAGCAGTTTTACCCACCAATACAAATATCAATACTGTGCAAAAGGCAAATAACATCGGTTATTCTGAAGACAGTTCTGACCTCCTAGCCTCTCTGTAAAGATCTTGGGAGCCCGCAGTCCATGGTCTGTGCCTTGAATACCCACTGGTGAGATGCAGCCTTATCTCATCTGCATGGATCTGGGCTGGGTTCACGCCCCCGCTCCTTTGGAGCTTTTATGAATGTGAGGCCTTCCCTGATCTCCATATTTAAAATCAGCCTCTCTTCTGCCCCTCACTCCAGCCCTCTAATTTTTCCCCATGTCTCTGTCTCTAACATGCTCTGTTCTTCATTTTGTCTGCCTCCCTCCACTAAAATGTAAGCTCTGGATGGCAGAGATTTTGAGCTGTCTTGTTCCTTGCTGTATCCCCAGCGATTAAGAGTAGTATCTGGCATGCGGAGGTAGTAGCCTGATACGTATGTCAGTGAATGAGTGAGTGAATGTGCCTGGGCCACTTTCCTGGGGTCTCCTGGCAGGTCCGAGGGGAGCAGCTCATTGCTCTTGACCTGGCCCTCCTGGGGGTCCATGCTCCCCACCCCTGATGACTTGTCTTGTTCTCCCTGGCTCCTCAGCCAGTGCTCCCCCACACCGCCGTGTGCCTTGTGTGTGGCGAGGCGGGGAAGGAAGACACAGTGGAAGAGGAGGAAGGCAAGTTTAACCTCATGCTCATGGAGTGCTCCATCTGCAACGAAATCATCCACCCCGGATGCCTTAAGGTGAGCGGCCCAGTGGGGACAGGTGACGCTGGCGCTGTGGGGCAGGTAGGGTTGCTGGAGATGCTGGTGAGGTGGTGGGATGCAGGTCGTGCGGTGAATTCCTGGAGAACCCCTGAGTCTGGGTGATCCTGTGTGTCAAGGGGATAAGCCCAGAGCAAGGAGGGCCTGGAGTACCTTGGAGACCCAGTGTCATTAAAGGAATAGACAGACCCCCACGTCCCAGGACGTCAGAACCAGAGAGGGTTCCCAGAGTCTCAGCAGATGGCAAACACAGGCTGCTTGTTTGTAGCTGGGCCAGAGGGAGAGCCTCCAGGTGGCTCCAGGCTTCTGGGAGAACAAGGCCCCACACCCCACTCCTTCCTTCAGCACCCTGTAGAGTCCTCTGCAAAGTCCTTTCTGCATGCCAGGCGCTGAGCTGGTGGCTTTACCTGGGTCATACCCCTCAGTGAGATGGGCACACTAACTTTTATGGCTGAGGGCACCAGCCTACAGAGACAGAGTGACTTGCCCAGGGTCCCAGAGAAGCAAAAGGGCTCCGCCTCTGAACCCTGGCCTGGATCCACAGTTGCCTGTCTCTGCCAGCCTCTGCGGCTGTGTTTTCTTTTGGCTGGAAACAGGATAGACGTGACACTGGGCAGGGGGTGCTGCTGCTTCTGGAAGACATGGCCTCACAGAGCCTTGTGCCTGTGGGCCCTCTTCTCCGCTTGTCCCTCTTCTGAGTCCTGGTGTTCCCCGCAGATTAAGGAGTCAGAGGGTGTGGTCAACGACGAGCTTCCAAACTGCTGGGAGTGTCCGAAGTGTAACCACGCCGGCAAGACCGGGAAAGTGAGTGCCGGGCTCCAAGTCCCAGGGTCAGTCGGGAGAGGGGCGGGCCTGGGCCTGGCTGGGACCAGCCTGTCCCAGGAGTGTCAGGCAGGTGGGGTGCCGTGGGCCTGGGGAGGAGGAAGGGCAAGTCCAAAGGTATACAGTTGGTCTGTTCCTTCTCTCTTTTTGGCCTACAAGCAAAAGCGTGGCCCTGGCTTTAAGTACGCCTCCAACCTGCCCGGCTCCCTGCTCAAGGAGCAGAAGATGAACCGGGACAACAAGGAAGGGCAGGAACCTGCCAAGCGGAGGAGCGAATGTGAGGAGGCGCCCCGGCGCAGGTCGGACGAGCACCCCAAGAAGGTGCCGCCGGACGGCCTCCTGCGCAGAAAGTCTGATGACGTGCACCTGAGGAAGAAGCGGAAATACGAGAAGCCCCAGGAGCTGAGTGGACGCAAGCGGGTACGGACCAGGAGGGGCTGAGAGACAAAGGGGGTGGTCTGGCTGGTCCTAGGTGCTGGGTTGGAAGGCTGGGGCAGGGGGTGGGCAGCGAGTAGAGCTTGGGATAATCCCAGCCTCTTGCTGCCCTAAGCAGGTCACCTAAGTCCTGAGAGCCCTGCCCCAAAGAAAGGAGGGGAAAACCAGCGAGTCACTCCTCTTCCCACCCCCCCCTTTAGGCCTCATCGCTTCAAACGTCCCCCGGTTCCTCCTCTCACCTCTCGCCGAGGCCCCCTCTAGGCAGCAGCCTCAGCCCCTGGTGGAGATCCAGTCTCACTTACTTCCAGCAGCAGGTGCTCCCACGACGCACGCCCTCCTGAGGCCCTGGGGACTGGCGAGTCCCGGGCTGTCCCCCACCCCACCCCGCTGGTCCTCCACCCCACTGCTGCCTCTCCTGAGGCTTCCCAGGTCTCGGCCCCAGATCTCTGGCTCGTGGTTCTGGCTTCGGGCCTGGGAAGCTGTCTGTGACTAGAGCCTCTGTTGGTTGGGATGGAAGCTGTGAGTCCAGGGAACCTCTGAGGAGCCTGGTGGCCCTGCTCCACCCACGGGCCATGCTGTCACCAGCCACAAGGTGGCGCCAGGAGTCTCTCCCAGCTCTAGCCATTCCGGCTGGGCCAGGGATTCCCACAGGGCTGTGCTCCAGAACTGGCTCCCAAAGCCGAGGCTTATTTGAATGGCGGCTGCACATCTCCGGGTCTGGGGGGTGGGAGGTCAGTTGGGTGGGAACAGTTCAACAGTACTACTTCCAGCTTCTTCCTTGAAAGCCGCAGGCAGGGCTTGCCCGTCTGTCGGTCAGATGTGGAGATGGCATTTGTGGGGAAGGCGTCCCTCCAGCCCCTCCTCTAGAGACTGTGGACTCATGGTGGGGTGGGGTGTCGAGGGGACCAAATCCCACAAGCCCGGGGAGCAAGCTCTGCGTCCTTTCTTTTTCGTGACAGCTCAAACCTGGCAAAGAAGATAAGCTTTTCAGGAAAAAGGTACCATCTTCCCCTCCTCCCTGTGCCCCAGGCCCGAGCGGTTAGAGCTGCACAGCAGCTCCCTGGGCCACAGTCCCGTGGCAGGGGGGCGGGAGGCCTTGGGTGGGCGCAGCCCTGAGCCCTACAGGCTGACGCGTCTCCGCTCTCGCCCTCAGCGTCGGTCCTGGAAGAACGCCGAGGACCGCATGGCGCTGGCCAACAAGCCCCTCCGGCGCTTCAAGCAGGAACCCGAGGACGATCTGCCCGAGGCACCCCCAAAGACCAGGGAGAGCGACCACTCCCGCTCCAGCTCCCCCACCGCAGGACCCAGCACCGAGGGGACCGAGGGCCCGGAGGAGAAGAAGAAGGTGAAGATGCGCCGGAAGCGGCGGCTTCCCAACAAGGAGCTGAGCAGGGAGCTGAGCAAGGAGCTCAACCACGAGATCCAGAGGACGGAGAGCAGCCTGGCCAACGAGAACCAGCAGCCCATCAAGTCGGAGCCTGAGAGCGAGGGCGAGGAGCCCAAGCGGCCCCCAGGCGTCTGCGAGCGTCCCCACCGCTTCAGCAAGGGGCTCAACGGCACCCCTCGGGAGCTGCGGCACCAGCTGGGACCCGGCCTGCGCAGCCCGCCCCGTGTCATCTCCCGGCCCCCACCCTCCGTGTCCCCGCCCAAGTGTATCCAGATGGAGCGCCATGTGATCCGGCCACCCCCCATCAGCCCCCCGCCTGACTCGCTACCCCTGGACGATGGGGCAGCCCACGTCATGCACAGGGAGGTGTGGATGGCCGTCTTCAGCTACCTCAGCCACCAAGACCTGTGCGTCTGCATGCGGGTCTGCAGGACCTGGAACCGCTGGTGAGCGGCGGCCTGTGAAGGGCTCTAGGTTAAGGCTCAGGCGGCACCAGGGATGGCCCGTGTATGTGGAGTCGCTGGTGATGCTCTTTCCTTCCAAGCACCAGTATGGCTTCATTGTGCTCCGCAAAGCGTTCCAGCTGGCTACAGTGGCCCCTCTGGTCTTGTCAGAGGAGGTGACCTGGTTTACTCCCTGATTTAGCTTCCTGAAGGGTAAAGTGAGGACCACGTGAAGTCCTTGGCTTCGGAGAGTTAGTCCAGGTTTCCAGCAAGGTTGCCAGTTGCAACTTCAGGCCAGCCGATATTTACCAGCTTTCTGGTCTTAGCTCTGCCTTACCCTCTTGGATGAACGGGCATAAGACCTGCTTCATGGGGTTGTTTGGAAGAACGGCCGATAGAGGGCGTTGTAAAGCCCATGGTAAATACTTGCGGGAGGCCTGGCGCAATGGCGCATGCCTGTAATCCCAGCACTTTACGGGCGGATCACTTGAAGTCAGGAGTTCAAGACCAGCCTGGCCAGCATGGTGAAACCCCATTTCTACTAAAAATACAAAAATTAGCCGGGTGTGGTGGTGCACACCTGTAATCCTGGCTACTCGGGAGGCTGAGGCAGAAGAATCACTTGAGTGTGGGAGACAAAGGTTGTGGTGAGCAGAGATTGCACCACTACACACCAGTCTGGGAACAGAGCGAGTCTCTGTCTCAATAAATACATACATACATACATACATACATAATTGATGGAGAGTGGAGGCCATGGCTGTCAGAGCAGATGGCAGGTGCCTGCATCGGGGCGGGACAGGTGCTACACAGAGAAGGGTCCAGAGTGCCGAGTTAAGGAGCCTCCCAGAAGTTGGTAGGTGGGGAGAGTTAGAGCCGTGCATGGGCTGCCACGGAGCCCCACCTCTGACGATGTGTCCCCACCCGGCCGGTCCCCAGGTGCTGCGATAAGCGGTTGTGGACCCGCATTGACCTGAACCACTGCAAGTCTATCACACCCCTGATGCTGAGTGGCATCATCCGGCGACAGCCTGTCTCCCTCGACCTCAGCTGGACCAATATCTCCAAGAAGCAGCTGAGCTGGCTCATCAACCGGCTGCCTGGTGAGCCCTGGGCCAGTGGCCCCGAGTGTGTCTGCTGCAGTGGGGGTTGGGGGCGCATCCCCTGACCTTCACCCTTTTCTGTGTCCCCCGCAGGGCTCCGGGACTTGGTGCTGTCAGGCTGCTCATGGATCGCGGTCTCGGCCCTTTGCAGCTCCAGTTGTCCGCTGCTCCGGACTCTGGATGTCCAGTGGGTGGAGGGACTAAAGGATGCCCAGATGCGGGATCTCCTGTCCCCGCCCACAGACAACAGGCCAGGTGAGTTGCCAGGCTGGGGGTTTCTGTGAGGGTGGGGTGACCGAGCTAGGCTGTTGGATCTGCTTTTACCCTCAGACCCCAGCATGTTCTCCATTGTTCTCAGGCCCCAGCCCTTCCCCAGAGGACATAGGGATGAGTCTCTGCTGCCATGTTCTCAGTTTGCTTCAGGCACAGAGGGGATCTGGGAGGAGGCAGGGGCTCCTGTGCACATGCGAGACGCGCTCATGGGACTCCGTGTGCGTCTCACTGCTTTCCTGTTGTTGACTCACTCATGGGGGCTCTGCATGCGTCTCACTGCTTTGCTGTTGACTTGCCCCTCGTTGGTTTCAAGTCTCCATGGCCATCAGGATCAGTGTGGTTACTCAAGGGCTTCCAGGATGGCGCCTCCCCCTGGGCTGGACTGGACTGCCTAGGTCTGTGCTTCTTGCCAAGTCACAGGGATTGGGGGTGCTGCGTGGCCTCTGCACTGGTTGGCGGGTGACTACTGGGTGGAATGTGGGCTCAGTGTTTAGATCTTTTAGTTTTTCAAGAGAATCTGGAAATCTAAGTTTTGATGTGGAGTCTGATTTTTAACTGTTGGAATTCTGATTTTGGGAGGAAGCAGTTTGTAACTAAATGAGATCTGAGTGTTCTGTCTGGCTGGTGGGCCTTTTTAGAGTGTCATGTCAGTGTGACCAGGCCTCCTCGGTCAGATTGACGGGTTGCCCCCTCCTTCCCGCCCCACCAGGTCAGATGGACAATCGGAGCAAGCTCCGCAACATCGTGGAGCTGCGCCTGGCAGGCCTGGACATCACAGATGCCTCCCTGCGGCTCATCATCCGTCACATGCCCCTGCTCTCCAAGCTCCACCTCAGTTACTGTAACCACGTCACCGACCAGTCCATCAACCTGCTCACCGCTGTTGGCACCACCACCCGAGACTCCTTAACCGAGATCAACCTGTCTGGTGAGTCAGGGGCCCCCATCAAGTCTGCCCGGCACTCCGTGGGAGGGCCAGGAGGTTCACACTTGTGGAAAATGACTGGTGTGTTCACAACTATGTGGTCACAGTGCTAGGTGTCTCGTTTACTGAGATAGACAGCCCCTTCCAGAGGGGAAACACATTAAACAAAGAGTTGCTGTTGGCTGGGTGCGGCGGCTCACGCCTGTAATCCCAGCACTTTGGGAGGCTGAGGCAGGTGGATCATAAGGACAGGAGTTCGAGACTAGCCTGGCCAACATGGTGAAAACCCGTCTCTGCAAAAATAATACAAAAATTAGCCGGGCGTGGTGCCCGGCACCTGTAATGCCAGCTACTTGGGAGGCTGAGGCAGGAGAATCGCTTGAAACTGGAAGGTGGAAGTTGCTGTGAGCCAAGATTGTGCCGCTGCACTCCAGCCTGGGTGACAAGACCAAAACTCTGTCTCAAAAAAAAAGTTACTGTTGGAATTGTAATTGCTACGCCCAGAATAGTGCCAGTTAGCAGCAGCCACGAGCACACAGCAGTGGTTCCTGACTGAAAATATGGACAAGGGACAGCTTCCCCAGGGGTGCAGAGGAGCCGGTGCCTGACAACCAGGGTGTGGAGATAGTGGGGGGCGAGGGCCCTGGTGGGCAGGAGGGAGCTTGGTTTCTGCCTTTGCTGTCGTTGCTTACATGCACCCCTTGTGACTCTGCCATCAAGGGGCCTGTTGTTGGAGAGAAAAAAACCCACAGTTAGTTCCATTATTGTTCTGTGTCTGTCGCTGTGGTGGCAGGATCTTCACTCGCTCCATTTGTTGGCGGGGCGGCAGTTGGTTCTGAAGGACTTGGGGCTCCAGTATGCAGCGAGGTACGCAGAGCAGTGCTGCCTGCTCTTAGCCCAACTAACCCGATTTTGGTCTGGTAGCTTAGGATGGTCTGGACTGGGGGGTGTCGGGTTTGGGTGAGACCAAAAAAAGAAAGAGAAAAAGAAACTTAACTTACGGGTTTTTTATTTTGTTTTGTTTTTTTGTTTTTTGAGATGGAGTCTTGCTCTGTAGCCCAGGCTGGAGTACAGCAGCGCGATCTCCACTCACTGCAAGCTCCACCCTCTGGGTTTATACCACTCTCCTGCCTCAGCCTCCCGAGTAGCTGGGACTACAGGCGCCCGCCACCACGCCTGGCTAATTTTTTGTATTTTTAGTAGAGACAGGGTTTCACCATGCTAGCCAGGATGGTCTCGATCTTCTGACCTCGTGATCCGCCTGCCGTGGCCTCCCAAAGTGCTGGGATTACAGGCGTGAGCCACCGTGCACGGCCAGGTTTTTTTTTTTTACCCTCAGAAATTACCAAGTACTAAAGACACCCCCATCTCACCAAATTACATTTTGACACAGCGCAGTGGTGATGTACACTTTGTTTTCTCCTCTGCATCCCACATTCATGCCTGATAAACTATCTGGCAACCGTGCCTCATAGCAGGGGCATGGGAGCTTTGGATGGGATGAGATCATTCAGGACCTAGGAAGCCATTCTTTCTCCTTATGAAGTTTTGATGACAGGAATTGTTCCACCTCGTGGAGGCAAAGAACCAGAGTGAATTGAGGCTTCTCCAGCTCAAGGGCCAGGTCATGGGCTTGAATGGGTAGAGCTGCCCTTTGGAGAGGGTCTGGGAGTCATCTTACTCTAAGTGCTGGCATTTTAGTAAATCGCTTCATTATATCCTGGTTTAGTTGTTATGGATGCGTAGCAGAGATCTCAGTATAAATTCCCTCCCCTGCGGTTTAGGCCATGCTGTGTGTGTGTGTGTGCAAATCATCTTTGGCATTTTGTTTTTCCAGCATGATAAATTGAGGTCATCTTTTCATCTCAGTGCATAAGCTCTCTGCATTCTTTTTTGTTTTTTTTTTTTCTTTTTTGAGATGGAGCTTTGCTCTGTCGCCCAGGCTGGAGTGCAGTGGTGCGATCTCGGCTCACTCTAACCTCTGCCTCCCATGTTCCAGTGATTCTTCTGCCTCAGTCTTGTGAGTAGCTGGGATTACAGGCGCCTGCCACCACGCCTGGCTAAGTTTTGTATTTTTAGTAGAGATGGGGTTTCACCATGTTGGCCAGGCTGGCCTTGAACTCCTGACCTCAGGTGATCCACCCATCTCTGCCTCCCAAAGTGCTGGGATTACAGGTGTGAGCCACCGCACCCGGCCTGCATTCTTGTTAAGAGCTGTGAAGTGGCTGGGCGCGGTGGCTCACACCTGTAATCCCAGCACTTTGGGAGGATGAGGCAGGCGGATCACGAGGTCAGGAGATCGAGACCATCCTGGCTAACACGGTGAAACCCCGTCTCTCCTATAAAAGAAAATACAGAAGAAAATTAGCTGAGTGTGGTGGTGGGCGCCTGTAGTCCCAGCTACTCGGGAGGCTGAGGCAGGAGAATGACGTGAACCCGGGAGGCGGAGCTTGCAGTGAGCCAAGATCGTGCCACTGCACTCCAGCCTGGGTGACAGAGCGAGACTCCATCTCAAAAAAAAAAAAAAAAGGAAAGAGCTGTGAAGTATATTAAGGCGTATCTCTATACTTAGACTCTTTTAGATTTTCTTTAAAAAAAAAAAAACAAAAACTTCCCCTCTCATCGGTGTAACTAGTTGAGTTACTGGAAAAATAAACTTATCCTGATGTAAGCACCAGAGATGGGAAAATAGTCTGTGCCACAAAATAGATGATGGTTGACATGCCTCAAGATCCTTAAACTTGGTTGGAGGGTCTGGTCTCGAGACAAGGGAAGTTGCAATTCTAGCTATTGTTCTGGCCGAATTCCATCGAGGAAAATTTATTGGGTGCTCAAGGCAGTCCCTTGCCTTTCCCTTCTCCACCCCATCCTCACTACCTGAGGCAACACCTTAAACTCTTGAATTCTTTCTTCCAGTGTTTACCTCCCCTATTTCAAACTAGCAAGCCTAGTGCTCACTTTGGCGCCCATTTGCTAAAATTGAAACAATACAGAGATGAGCATGGCCCCTGCACAAGGATGACATGCAAATTCGTGAAGTGTTCCATATTTTTAATTAAAAACAAAATGAAAAAATACCAAGCCTATACTGCAATTTCTTTTTTTTCTCCCATGTGGATATTATGTATTTATTAACTTGCTATTAGATAATATGAGGATTTACTACTGTTGTATCCTTCCCTCCCACCCCCCCTCCCGTTTTTCTCCCTCCATCTTTTCTAATTTTTGGTTGTCACTATTCTTTCACTTATTATGAGCATGTTAAGTGTTGGTCACTGTTGAGCCAGTGTATTATGTGAGTACATTTTCTTTCTTGCTCAATGTTTTTGTTGTTTAATTGCTCATTTTGTTTGCTTAGTTTCTATGCAAATGGTACAACAGAATTGAATGCTCTCCCCCTCCCCACCCCCAACTCATCAGTCTCTTGACCAGTTTTTGTAGGAGACTTGCCTCCTGACTTCTTTTCCTCCCCTTCCGTTTTCTCCTCTGGGACTGGCCGCCCCCGCCTGCCATACCACTGCCATCCTGGACTCCTTTGGTGTCTCTCTTGTCCTAGGTACCTTCCTTCCTTGATCTCATATTTTCTTTCTTGGTTTACTATCACGTTTGCTGAGAGACATTTTCTAGACCCTGTGTGTCTGGATTCGTTTTTATTATACCCTCCCATTTAGTGGCTAGTTCTGCTGGGTATAGAACCCTATCTGGGAGCCTGTTGCTACAGTAAGTAGGAGGTTTTGCTCCACCATCTTCTGCCTTCCAGAGGCAGGGTCCAAAACTATTTGATTCTTCATCTGTCAGTGAATCTATTTTCTCTCCTTGTCAGTTAGTAGAAAGTTGTCTCTAGCTGTCTGCACTTTTCGATGACAAACTTCAGTTTGAATCCATTTCACCTACCATGCTGAACACTCACAGAAGCCCTTCAGTCTGGACGTCTGTGTTCTTCAGTTGTAGAAAAACTTCTTGAATTCTTTCTTAACTTCCTCCCCTTCTGTTTTCCTCTTTCTGGACTAGTCCTCTGATTCCTGTCTTCTCTCCTCATTTCCATGTCAATGTCTTTTTGCTGTATTTTCTGTGAGTTTTCCCTTACTTTATCATACAACCTTTTTTTTTTTTTTTTTTTTTTTGAGATGGAGTCTCGCTCTGTCGCCCAGGCTGGAGTGCAGTGGCGCGATCTCAGCTCACTGCAAGCTCCGCCTCCCGGGTTCACGCCATTCTCCTGCCTCAGCCTCCCAAGTAGCAGGGACTACAGGCGCCCGCCACCTCGCCCGGGTAATTTTTTGTATTTTTAGTAGAGACGGGGTTTCACCGTGTTAGCCAGGATGGTCTTGATCTCCTGACCTCGTGATCCCCCTGCCTCGGCCGTCCAAAGTGCTGGGATTACAGGCGTGAGCCACCGTGCCTGACCACAGCTTATACACTGAGTTTTTCATTTCTGCTGTTGTGCAGTTGAACCATATGAAACTGCTGTTTAAAATAGATCAAAAATAGTCAAATGTTGGCATTTTCATATGGTTCAACCTATATGTTTAGTTTTCAAGCTGTGTTCTCTGAACGTTTTGTGGAATGGCCTGTTCTTGTTTTTTGGAGCCAGATACTTTCCTACCTAAGGATATGAATGATTGTTTTATTTTCTTCTCTCTGTGTTGACTGTTCCTTTCAAATGCTGTCAGTGGCCTTCGGCAGAGGCTCTCCTCAGCTTGAGTGCTGATGCCTGCTTGTCCCTCCACTCCAGGGTGGTCAGAGTGGGCACGCTGCTGGAGCTTGTCTGCTATGGACGACACTTACAGTGTGGTCTCTGTGGGTCCTGGACATCACATCTTTCGAACTTCTTAAGCTAGTCAGGATTGCCAGAAAGACTCTCCTTGATCTCCTAAGGGTGTGGGCTGGACCGCTGTTGGTATGGCCAAGTATGGGGCTTGATAGGGGAAGGAGGTTCTCAACAGTCAGGAGGTAAATTTTCCCTTAGCCCCACTTTTGAGTGGGCACCCCTACTTTCTGTGCCCACTGTAACCCAGCCCATCAGGCACTAAAACCCCAGTCTTCTGCTGGGGAAGGAATCCAGACATCTTACTACTCCTTGAATAGATTTCAGCCAGTGCTTCTGTTACTAACACCATCTTTAGCCCCACTTCCAATGTACCTGTCACTTTCAATGCAAGAGGAATTTCTGAGAAATCACCACTAAACACCTTAGAGGTGTTCTATAGAATAATTATTCTTTTCTGCTTTCCCGTCAGCCACTTTAGAGTTAAACTTTCTCAAGTCTCCTAAATTGTTACCTCTTCTTCAGCTTCCAAAATTAGAAAAATAATTATGTTGTAGTGAAATAATATGTAATACAAAATAGACCACCTTAGCCATTTTGGGGCACATAATTCAGTGGCATTAAGTACATTCACAGTGTTGAGCAACTGTCACCAACATCCATCTCCAGACTTTTTTTGTTTTAGAGACAGGGTCTCGCTATGTTGCCCAGGCTGGTCTCAAACCCCTGGGCTCAAGCAGTCCTCCTGCCCCAGCTTCCCAAAATGTTAGAATTACAGGCATGAGCCACTACACCTGGCCTTTTTTATTTTTATTTTTCCTCTTTGTTGGCTGTGATTTTGGTGTCATATCAATCTTTGCAAAGTCTAATGTCATGAAAATTTTCCCCTATGTTCTCTTTTTCTTTTTTCAAGACAAAGTCTTACACAGTCGCCCAGATTTGAGTGCAGTGGTGTGATGTCAGCTCACTGCAGCTTCCGCCTCCTGGGTTCATGCGATTCTCATGCCTCAGTCTCCAAGTAGCTGGGACTACAGGCGCCTGCCCCCACACCCCACTAATTTTTGTATTTTTAGTAGAGACGAGGTTTCACCATATTGGCCAGGCTGGTCTCAAACTCCTGATCTTGTGATCCACCTGCCTTGGTTTCCCAAAGTGCTGGGATTACAGGCATGAGCCAGTGCGCACGGCCGGGTCCAGCTTATTCTTTTGCATGTTGAAATCCAATTTTCCTAGCAATATTTATTGAAAAGATTACCTATTACTTCACTGAATGCTGTTGGCACCCTTTTCAAAAATCACTTTACCATATATTTGAGGGTTTGTTTCTGGGCTCCTGATTCTTTTTTTTTTTTTTTTTTTTTTTTGATACACAGTCTCACTCTGTTGCCCAGCCTGGAGTGCAGTGCAGTGGCACGATCTTGGCTCACTGCAACCTCCACCTCCCGCATTCAAGTGATTCTCCTGCCTCAGCCTCCTTTGTAGCTGGGAGTACAGGTGTGTGCCACCACGCCACGTTGGCCAGGGTGGTCTCAAACTCCTGACCTCAGGTGATCCGCCCACCTCAGCCTCCCAAAGTGCTGGGATTACAGGTGTGAGTCACCACACCTGGCCGAGCTCTTGATTCTATTCTATTGGTCTATATGTCTGTCCTTTTTCCTGTAATGTGCTTTATGAATGAATGAATGACAGGGGCTTACTCTGTCATCCAGGCTGGAGTGCAGTGGTGTGATCATGTCTCGCTGCAGGCTCCACCTCCCAGGCTCAAGTGATCCTCCCACCTCAACCTCCCATGTAGTTGAGACTAGAGGTACATACCACCATGATCGGCTAATTTTGGTATTTTTTTTATAGAGACAGGCTTTTGCTATGTTGCTCAGGCTGGTCTTGAACTCATAGGCTCAAGTCATCCACCCACCTCAGCCTCCCAAGTGCTGGTCTTACAGGCATGAGCCACTGCACTTGGCCTGTGTATTTTATTTGGAGACGGGATCTCACTGTGTTGCTCAGGCTGGAATCATACTCCTGGGCTCAAGTGATTTTCCACCTCAGCTTCAGATTAGCTCAAGTTCTTCAACTTTGTTCTTTTTTTGGATTGTTTGGACAACTTGGAGCCCCATGCGTTCACATGAATTTTAGGATAGATTTTTCTATTTCTGCAAAAAACAGTAGTAGGATTTTAGAGCAATGTCATTGAGTCTGTAGATGTCTGTGGGTAGTGCTGACATCTTAATAGTATTAAGTCTTCCAATCCATGAACATAGGATGACTTTCCATTTATTTATGTCTAATTTAGTTTTTTTCGGCAATGCTTTACAGTCTTCAAAGTACAAGTCTTTCCTTGGTTAAATTTATTCCTGAAGCTAGGCATGGTGGCACACACCTATAGTCCCAGCTACTCAGGAAGCTGAGGTGGGAGGATCACTTGAGCCCAGGAGTCCTAGACCAGCTTGGGCAAAGTAGTGAGATTCCAGATCTAAAATGTTTAAAGGCCGAGGGAGAACTGATGAGGATGCTAACAAAAGTGATGTTCCTCCACAGACTGGCGGGTGGGCAGGCGGGCCCCATGCGCCAGCAGGAAACATCTGTCAGCCTGCCTGTGGAGGGTCCAAGAAACCAGGCTGCAGTGAACTCTGATGCAGAGGGATCAAAGGAAAGTCTTTTCCTTCTAGCTTCTTTGTTGGAAGGGTCTTTGGGCTCCAGTTTTGGGGAATATTTGAACCACAAGCTAGGAAGAATGCTGGCTGGGCATGAATGAGCATCCAAAGAGGGCCCAAATTAGTACCCAAAGACAACTCAGAAAAGGAGCCAGCTGGGCCTCCAGGTCTCACTTCACACCGAGTGGTGCCTTACCACTGACAGGTGACTGCCAGGATGCACCTGAGGCCCCCTCAGTCGTCTGACAGCCGCAGGCCACGGCAGTGTGCCAGCCAGACGGCAGAGTTCTCTGGCATGGGAGCTGCCTGTTCTGGTGCTTGAAGGTGCCAAGGGAGAGGCAGGACTTGGGTCAGTCCCTTCTAGCCAGGAACTAGGCAAACATTGGAGGAGGAAAATATCCCTGAGCTGGTGATGGAGTGGGGACAGCATAGCTGGATCTGAGTAAGGAATGAGACGCATTCTGGGGATGAGCTAGACAGTGCTCTGGAAGGCAGATAGGGAGCTGGGAACAGGGTCAAGATGGAAGATTCTGAGGGTGATTTCTTGCTTAACATGTCTAGCCTGAATCTAAGCAAGCCTCTGGGATATCTGCAGTTTATAGGAAACACAGGAGATAAGAAACAAGCTAAATGACACCTTGAAGATGACAAGTGAGAATGTGGGACATCCTCTAAGAAAACCATCCTGGTCAGACGGGCTCAACACCTATAATCCCAGTGGTTTGGGAGGCTGGGTGGGGAGGATAACTTGAGACCAGGAGTTCAAATCTAACTGGTCGACATGTCATAGTAAATAATGAAAAATGAAAAGTATTTGAAAATAAGCTTATATTAGTAAAATCCCTATTCTTTATACTTAAAATGAATCAAGTATTGAGTTTTGGGGATCATGAGTTTCCTGAAGGAATTGTATGATAGCATTCTACAACTTCCTTCATCATTGGATTTTGCAGTTAGATTATAAAGAGGGTCAGGCATTTGAGGGGGAACTACTTGAGGAATTAATTAGAAGATTAAGGGATACCCTTTGAAAAACTGAGTTATTGCCGGGCACAGTGGCTCACACCTGTAATCCCAGCGCTTTGGGAGGCTGAGCCGGGTGGATCACCTGAGTTCAGGAGTTCAAGACCAGCCTGGCCAACACGGGGAAACCCCGTCTCTACTAAAAACACAAAAAATTAGGCCGGGCGCAGTGGCTCAAGCCTGTAATCCCAGCACTTCAGGAGGCCGAGGCGGGCAGATTCCGAAGTCAGGAGATCGAGACTATCCTGGCTAACACAGTGAAACCCTGTCTCTACTAAAAATACAAAAAAAAAGAAATTAGCCGGATGTGGTGGCAGACGCCTATAGTCCCAGCTACTCTGGAGGCTGAGGCGGGAGAGTGGCGTGAACCCGGGAGGCAGAGCTTGCAGTGAGCCGAGATCGCGCCACTGCACTCCAGCTTGGGCGACAGAGCGAGACTCCGTTTCAAAAAAAAAATTAAAAAAAAAAAAAAAATTAAAAAAATTAGCCGGGCGTGGTGTTGGGCGCCTGTAGTCCAGCTACTCGGGAGGCTGAGGCAGGAGAATGTCGTGAACCCGGGAGGCGAGGTGGAACTTGCAGTGAGCCGAGATCGCCTCACTGCACTCCAGCCTGGGCAACAAGAGCAAAACTCCGTCTCCAAAAAAATCCAAAACCACGAAAAACTGAGTTGTCTGTTGAAGCATCTCTCTATCAGCATTGTCGTTTTCCCATCTTCAGTCTAAAAGCACGGCCTTCACTTGTGAATGCCTATGTGTATGTAGACAGCTTTCCAGTACCACTGCTCCACATGAATTGGTGAGCATCTGTTTGAAGATTCTGTGCTGATGTGGAAGACACTGTCTGAAAGGACTGGCTGTATAAAGGAAGTCAGTTTGGTGGCTCACGTGGTGCTCTGACTTTACTACTTTACACCACCTCCTCGCCTGCAGGGATTTTGATAACATGTAGATAGCACAGGCTTTGTATGTATGATTGTGGTTTTCCCTTAGTATTTTTATTCCCACTCAGTTTAATAGAGAAATGAAAGTGTTGATACTAAGGATGATTAGCAAAGGTCATAAATGTAATACCATTGAGGCTGGGCACAGTAGCTCAAGCCTGTAATCCCAGTACTTTGGGAGGCCAAGGCGGGCAGATCACGTGAGGTCAGGAGTTTGAGGCCAGCTTGGACAACACGGTGGAACGCAGTTTCTACTAAAAGTGCCAAAAAAAAAAAAAAAAAAAAAAAAGCGGGCATGGTGGTGGGCGCCTGTAATTCCAGCTATTCGGGAGGCTGAGGCAGGAGAAGCACTTAAACCTGGGAGGCGGAGGTTGCAGTGAGTCAAGATTGTGCCATTGCACCCCAGGCTGGGTGACAAGAGTGAGACTCTGCCTCCAAAAAAAAAAAAAAAAAGGAAAGAAAAGAAAAGCACAGAGGGTGTGATGAAGTCTGAATTCTGCTTTTGCTGGAAGGGCATGTTGGTCTGGTGCCTAGGCTGATGGAACACGGTGAGTCCTGGGGTTAGGACCAAACAGCTGTCCCTTGTGCTGTGAATTGCTCCAAAGCACTGGGGCCTGCAAAAGCAAAAATGATCCCAAGATGCCCTTAGCAATGTTCTTTCTGTGACCCAGCGATGCCCCTCTGGGAATTTATCTGAAGGGAAGAGGCAGATAAATGCACAGTAATAGACACAGAGCAGTATTCATCAACAATATATTAGATGAGAAAAGCAAACTACTTAACATGGTGTGTTAGCCTATCATGGTAAAAGCACATAGAACTACTTACATGAGCATAGGCATGTATAGAGGCTGCTGTGTGGTAAATTAGAAAGTCATTTTCACATGGTTATTTGAATGCTTTTGAGGCATATATTAACCTTTATACCTGGTGGGTGAAACCCTTCCCCATTTGAAGAAGAGAGATTTTAAGCAAATAACATTTTATTTAGTGCAGCACAGCAGGGGTTGGAATATGTAGAGCTCTGACCTGTCCCCAGTGCTGAGTGCCTGGGTCTGGGGGGGCCTTCTGGCTCCTGGCCTTCACACCTCACATTACTTATTCTCTGCAGACTGCAATAAGGTCACTGATCAGTGCCTGTCCTTCTTCAAACGCTGTGGAAACATCTGTCACATTGACCTGAGGTACTGCAAGCAAGTCACCAAGGAAGGCTGTGAGCAGTTCATAGCCGAGATGTCTGTGAGTGTCCAGTTTGGGCAAGTAGAAGAAAAACTCCTGCAAAAACTGAGTTAGTCCAAGGACAAGAATGTAAATACGGGGTGGGCTCTGGGAGGGGAAGAGACTTTACAAAAATGAGGGCTTTTATTTTCCATTTGGAACGTGGGACAACAGACCACAACGCAATTCCATTTTGCAAGTCTTTCCAAGGGAGAAGCTGTTCAACCACCCATTTCGGGGATGAGTGAGCCGACACTTTCCTTTGGTCTTTCTAAATCGTAACTGCACTGCTTTCTGGACCATTTCTAAGGCGGCCTTTACAAGAAGACATTCCTATCAGAGAGGAGGGTGGACTTTGGAGAAATTCTCATACTGAAGCATGAGCTTAGGAGTTTCTGTTAGTGGTAGTGGTGTTTTGGACACTTCATTCCTTGCAACACTGAGGTTTTGGGTGTTGACGTAAAGTGGACCACACACCACATCTGCTGCCGTCTTGACACTTTTTTTTGTTTGGTTGGTTTTGTTACATCCTACATTATGCAGAACTATTTTTGTACAAATTGTTTAAAAGTTATTTATGCAAGGTTTGAATGCATACCAGTGTTTTTATTGTTTTGAGATTGCCAATGTTCCTGATTTCCTTAAGGTAGGAGAGAATTTAACGTGTACTTCATCGACACAGCCCATCTACAAATGTGCCCAGATCTAACAAAGCAGGCTAAGACCTTCCACTTAAAAGCATGTTTAACTGGAAGTTGAGAGCCTGCTTTGTACCTCAAGAGTTACATGAGCATGTTGTGGATAAATGTAAATTATAGTTGAAGTAAGATACTCTGCCAAGTTTCCTCTGTAGAGAATTCACTTTTCTCAAATTTTAAAATTTCGACTTCAGCCTTTGCACTCAGGAGGGTCTGCTCCAGCATGAGCTCTTGTACTTACATAGATCTAATTTATACAGTGAGTCAAGACGTAGAATAAATGCTCCCACATAGCCTTTCTTTTGCTTTTTTCTCTCCTCTGAAGTGTGACTTGAGTTCTCATTTAGGTTTGTAACATGGCTATTTCCTAGTTGTAACGTTCTGCATTTATAAGTGCCATTGTTGTAAGGTGGTGTTTCCTAGACCTTCCCTGATGCGATTTTACCTTTGTTGAATTTGTATAAACAATTGTACAAAAAAAAACCACTCTTGAACTTTGCGGGTTTTTGTTCTAGGAGTGGACTAGAAGTTTAAGCCCAGAGTCAGTAAACCCTGTTTTGAGGCCCAAACAATGTAATTTCTGATTCATCTGATGTACCCTGTGGTGCGTCATTTTTCTTTCTTCTTCAGAAAGAAATCTGTTTCTGGCTAATAAAGGTATGCTCTGACAACGGCTGCACATAGGAATTAGACACAGACTTCTTTAAGGAGAAGAGTTGCTCATCTGTCTGTGTGCCTCTTACCACACAGAATTACTTCCATGGCTACTTGCCATTACTGTTGCCTAAAGCTTCCCCAGATTTGGGAGACAGTGGGAGCAACTGCAGGAGGCTGCATCCTGTACAGGTAGCCTTGGGCCATGATGGCTGTAGGAAACACTTGGTCATGAGGTGGCTTCCCCAAGTGGCAGATGTAGAAACCAGTGAGAAGTAATTTTAGATTACAGAATTTTTTTTTAAAGACAGGACCCTGCTGGCAGTGTCATATTCACATACAGAAACAACTGCTGTAGTGAATCTGAAGATGGAGAAGGTAGCCAACCTCCTTCCTCAGTGATGAGAGCAAGCAATGTAAGACGTTGTTCCTGTGGAAGAAGCCTTTCCTGCTGATGGCTGAGTTTTCTGTTTGTCCCTTTTATTTTTACCATGGCAAAACAGTTTTAATTACAACGAGACAGGCCAGGTGAAGTGGATCCAGCACTTTGGGAGGGATCACCTGTGGTCAGGAGTTCAAGACCAGCCTGACCAATATGGTGAAACCCCATCTCTACTAAAAATACAAAAATTAGCCAGGAGTGGTGGCGGGCGCCTGTAGTCCCAGCTACTTGGGAGGCTGAGGCAGGAGAATTGCTTGAACCCAGGAAGCGGATGTTGCAGTGAGCTGAGATTGCACCATTATACTCCAGCCTGGAGACAGGGAGACTCCATCTCAAAACAAAAAGAGAAAGATTTCATCTAGATACATGTCTCCTGTTAATTTAAATCCACAGACTCTTGATGACTCAATCTAAAGACACTCGAAGCCACTGTACCTAAGGGTTCCTGGAGCATACAGGTCTGCTAGGGAGGGGCTGCCAGGGCTGAGGATCCGAGCCACCACAGGGATGTGCAATACAGGAGAGACACAGCGGATCTCCAGTTTCAGGAGAGGCCACTGTATAGTGCAGTGGCCATAAACTCCCCCCAAGAGTACTGAATAATCCAGTAAGATTGTACTTCAGTACAAATCCACGGTGTCCGTACAGACCTTTTTATTTTATTATTTTATTTTTTTTATTTTGAGATGGAATCTCGCTCTTGTCCAGGCTGGAGTGCAGTGGTGTAATCTCAGCTCACTGCAACCTCTGCCTCCCAGGTTCAAGCAATTCTCCTGCCTCGGCCTCCCGAGTAGCTGGGAATACAGGCGCCTGCCACCATGCCCAGTTAATTTTTGTTATTTTTAGTAGAGACGGGGTTTCACCCACCATGTTGGCCAGGCTGGTCTTGAACTCCTGACTTAAGGTGATCTGCTGGTCTCAGCCTCCCAAAGTGCTGGGATTGTAGGGGTGAGCCACCATCCCCAGCCCCTTTTATTTATTTATTTTTATATTTTGAGGCGAAGTCTCACTCTGTCACCCAGGCTGGAGTGCAGTGGCACAATCTTGGCTCACTGCACGTTCTCCCTCCTAGGTTCACACCATTCTCCTGCCTCAGCCTCCCAACTAGCTGCGACTACAGGCGCTCGCCACCACGCCCAGCTAACTTTTTGTATTTTTAGTAGAGACGGGGTTTCACTGTGTTAGTCACGATGGTCTCGATCTCCTGACCTCGTAATCCACTCACCTCAGCCTCCCAAAGTGCTGGGATTATAGGCATAAGCCACCGCGCCCGGCTAAAGCCCCTTTTATTTTTAAAATGAGCCAAAGATGAGGCCAGCTGAGGCTAAATGCCACAGGCAACTACTCTGAGCCTACATGTCATGTCTGATGAAGTAATGAAAGGACCATAAATCCAAGGGAATGCTTGCTGTGTCAAATCACAACTTAGTAACCTAGAAAAGAGGCTCTGTCCCTTCCTCTAGGGAATCTGATGTTTACAAAGGAAGACACCATGGCACCTCAGATGACATCCTTTCATATTGTGAAGACGGGATCAAGAGACTTCACTGTATTCCACTGCAGACTTATCCATATGACATGACCTATTCAAAAAATTTACTTAAAGCAGCATGGGCTGGGCACAGTGGCTCACACCTGTAACCCCAGCACTTTGAGAGACCGAGGCAGGCAGATCACCCACGGTCAGGAGTTCAAGACCAGCCTGACCAACATGGTAAAACCCTATCTCTATTAAAAATAAAAAATTAGCTGGGAGTGGTAGTATGCACCTGTGATCCCAGCTACTCAGGAGGAAAAGGCAGGAGAATCACTTGAACCTGGGAAGTGGAGGCTGCGGTAAGCCAAGATTGTGCCATTGAACTTCAGCCTGGGCAACAGAGCAAGACTCTGACTCAAAAAAAAAAAATTGTTTAAAATTATCCAGGCATGGTGGTGCGCATCATATGCCAGCTGCTGGGGAGGCTAAGGCGGGAGGATTGCTTGAGCCCAGAAGTTAAGGCTATAGTGAGGTGTGATCATGCCACTGTACTCTGCCTGGGTGGGCAACAGCAAGACTGCCTTTATTGAAAAAAAAAAAAAAAAAAGGTCGGGCGCCGTGGCTCAAGCCTTTAATCCCAGCACTTTGGGAGGCCGAGACGGGCGGATCACGAGGTCAGGAGATCGAGAGCATCCTGGCTAACATGGTGAAACCCCGTCTCTACTAAAAAAATACAAAAAACTAGCTGGGCGAGGTAGCGGGCGCCTGTAGTCCCAGCTACTCAGGAGGCTGAGGCAGGAGAATGGCGTGAACCCGGGAGGCGGAGTTTGCAGTGAGCCGAGATCGCGCCACTGCACTCCAGCCTGGGCGACAGAGCGAGACTCCGTCTCAAAAAAAACAAAAAACAAAAAACAAAAAAAAAAAGGTGAGGCGGGTAGAAAGGCATGCCAGTTTACAAATCCAAATTCCAGAGGGAAATGCTCGCCCTCTGCCAAACAAGCCAATTTCCAAGTATCAAGCCTGTTACACAACATTTCTGATGTCTGGCTAATAAACCAGGGTTACTTCAAACTACTATCTAAAAAATCCACCAAGCATTTTGTACTCTCTATAAAGAAGCCACTAAAACGTAATACACAAATCTAAGAGTAAACATTAAACTGTTTTAAGCTAAGACTATGTATAAATCTGAATTTTTGAATTTAAGTTTAGACAAAACCAGCACATACTGGTTAGCTTCTATGGCCTGGATTTAAAGACGCCACCAAGTTACCAATTTGGAGGAAATGTTAAAATTTCCAGAGTCTCGTGAAAAGTTTAGACAAAAAGCACTAGTGCCCACAAAGCTCTGGTAACTTATGCTGCTTCTATAGGGAAGCCATGACCTGCTGAAGCCAGTTACTACTAATTATGGTTGCAGACAAGTGGGAGGCCTTGATTTACATGCTTTGATCTTCAAAAGCAGAAAAATTTTTTCTTTACAACTAGCCACACAAACTTTCTGCCCAAAGCACAGGGGCATCTACCTCTTGGCGTTCACAGGTATTTTCAGGTCTGTTGATTGACTACTAGATTCTGAGCACCCAAGGCCATGTGTGTTACTCACTGCAGAGTCAGGAGATACACAGACTCTGAGAAATGGCCACTCCCAACTGCACTGAATTCACCATTGGTCTCAGCTCAACCATCCTGAGTCGAGTCAAGTTGGACCTAAAAGAGATTTCAGAACATTTTTGCATAATATCTCAAGTTCCTCTTTTTCTTTTCTTTTTTTTTTTTTGAGATGGCATTTCGCTCTTGTTGCCCGCCTGGAGTGCAATAGCATGATCTTGGCTCACTGCAACCTCCGCCTTACGGTTTCAAGCGATTATCCTGCCTCAGCCTCCCGAGTAGTTGGGATTACCCTGCCACCATGCCTGGCTAATTTTCATATTTTTAGTACAGACAGTTTCACCATGTTGGCCAGGCTGGTCTTGGAACTCCTGACCTCATGATCCACCTGCCTCAGCCTCCCAAAGTGCCAGGATTACAGGCATGAGCCACCACACCTAGCCCAAGTTTCTTATTTCTTATGTGGTACTGGAAGGGTTAAGAGCAACTCTGGCATCAGAGCTAGTTTCAAATTCTGCATGGCCACTTTCTAACCATGAGGTTTTAGACAAGTCTAACTTCTCTGAGGTTGGGTTCCCCATCTGAGAAGCAAGGCAATGTTTATTTCAGAAGGTTGCTTTCAGGACTGCAGAGGCAACTACAGCACCTAGCATAATACCTGGACACAAGAAAAAGCACATCAGCAGTTAACCTTAGTGATAGGCAAGCAGGAAATGTAAGCACTGTTGCTCATGTGGCATTGTTCTTTTTTCTTTCTTTGTTTTGAGACAAGGTCTGGCTCTGTTACCCAGGCTGGATTTCAGTGGTGTGATCTTGGCTCACTGTAACTTCCACACCCAAGGCTCAAGCCATCCTCCCACCTTAGCCTCCCGAGTAGCTGGGGCTACCATGCCTGGCTAATTTTTTCATATTTTTTCCAAAGACAGGGTTTTGCCATATTGTCCAAGCTAGTCTTGAACTCGTGAGCTCAAGCATTCCTCCAGCCTCAACCTCACAAGGTGTGAGCCACTGCACCCCATGTGACATCTTTGAAGGTGCTCCCACCATCTCTTCTGAAGAGGGGTGCTAGGCCAGGGCGTAGATACCCATTCATACTGTACGCTTCTGATTTAGGAACTGACCAAGACAATGTAAACAAAAGCTTTTAAAACTAATTTTATTCCTAAAGTTAAAATCAGCTAGCGGGTAGCACTGAAAATACACCTTCACTATACAAAACAGTGTAAACTGATTACACATTGATAAGGAATTTAGCACACACTTCTAATAAAAGAAGCTAGATGCAGCCCTTGCTATAAAAAGCTATACCTGAACAAAAATGGACATGTGGAGTCTAAGGCCCTGGCAGTCGACTAGAGAATGTCAGTTGTTCCCAATTATGTTTAAATGCAGAAACAGCAACAATGTGGAAACCTTACATTCATCAAATGTTAGCATTTAAAATATACATGACTAATAAAGTGAACATTCAGAGGAGCCACTGTTCAGCATGTTCCATGTCGGCCACTTGTGGACACTGATCTCATCCAAAGAGGACAGAAGTTTCAAACATCTGAGCAGTTTAAGTTAAAAATAGGATGAAGGAGAAATAAGAGAACAGGATAAGTGTCCTCCCAAGACAACAGTGGCTGATGCCCACATGGCACAAACAGGCTGACTTCAATGAGTGTTCATGGGATGTGTGATAAAGCCCAGCTGAGCCCGGAAGCTCACGTGTCCACAGGCAGACAGGCTCACGGCATGGACCAATGTTTCCACAACTCAGGAGGATCTTTCTGTCCCCACTTAGTAGTGAAAATAACGTTTAAAAATAGCTTCAGCCTTTGAACAGTAGCTTTCCAGTCCCTTCTGTGCATTGAAATGTTTGGGGTCAAGTTTGGGGGTGACTGTCCTGGTGAGGGGAGCCTCAGTTTCAGGACTTGAACACGTGCACGGCTCGCACCACATACTGCCGGCAGATGGGACACTCACTCATGCGCTTGCCACACTTGGTGCAGGTAACCATGTGCCCACACTCCAGCAGGACACAGTCGATGACGGCATCCATGCAGATGCGACACAGGCTGTCGTCTTCCTCATCCTGCAGCTGCAGCCGCTCACCATCTGAAAGGCAACAGAGAGCTAAAGCCTTGGCTTTGGGCATGGCTGGCCAGCTAGCCACCCTCCCCTTCCAAAGCTGAGCACCCACCTGCTGAATGACCACTGCAGGCCCAATGCCACCCCAGTGTTGTACAAGAAATGATCCCAACTTCTCTGCACTTTGGTTCTCTCCACTAGAAAAGGCAATGATAAAAGCTATACCTCAGGGTTTTGTAAAGAATAAAATGCTTGAAGTACCCAACAAATGTTAGTTATGTATTTCTATTTTATCTTTGTCTAATTCAAGACGTTTGTGATAGGGATATATTACTTTTTTAACTAGAAAAAGAAACCCTCAGCTGGTCTTCTGCAGATGGGCTTTGGAGTCAGGATGCTACTGGAATTTAACTCAGTTGCCCCAGCTTTGTATCCCTGGGAACATCACAGTCTCCGGAGCCTCATCTCAGTAGGAAAAGGAGCCTTAGTTGCCCCCATAGGAAAGTTAGGAATAATTGTGCATCCTTCCTTCCCTAGCCTTAGAATCATCTCAAGCCACCCGTGTTCCTTGCCCTGCTGAAGTCTAACTTGAAAGAGATAGGCCGTCCTGGCTCTTGGCCCACCTTTACATCTGAGAAAATATAGTCTGTGAATAAGAAAGACTACGAATAAGTTAAAGTTAACCCCAGCCTGAGATGTGGCCATAGGGCTATGGATTTGGGTGCTTCCCTTTCTGCAGGTCAGAGGAGATCGAAGGGAATCATGAATAGTTGGAACAGAACAGGAATTCAAGCTTGAAAGGTCAGTAGTCTCTAGATTTAAGAGAAGTGTTTTACTGCCATTCATGGGAAGAGATTCTTGTGATCTGGGGTCTTAGTTCATGGCCCACGACTACTGGTGTGGACCTGGGGAGAAAGGATCTATGGGATGAGATGGCAGATATGCCAATGGAGAAGGCACTAGGCAACTCAAGATGAAATCAGAGTGGGCGTTGGTCTCCCCTTCTGTGTGGAGGGTTCCTTCCCACTCTTTAGAACTTAGGAAAGCAGAGGAGCCAGCATCTTGTCAGGGATATGGGAACAATCTTGGTATCAGTGACTTGGAGCCAGTCAAGCTAGGAAAGATGCCAACTGTGCTCAAAACAAAATGTGTGTTCCACCCAAGCCAGAGATTGAACTAGGGTTAGATTATACAGTGAGTTAATGGAGAAGGACACTGGAAAACATGCTGTCATAATAAAAACCATGTTATATCCTACACCACAAACTACTTAAGGGTGGGAGTGGCATTATCGTTGTACACTATACATAGTTGTTGTTTACATTTATGAAGTAAACTGACTTCTCCCCTCACTGCCAGAAAACCATTTCCCAGCCAGTAGCCTAGGATTTCTGAAAGCTCTGAGGATGAAGATTCCTGCATCTACCGTTGTGACATCATCTTAGAAGTAGGATTGCCAAAATACTTTGTGCACCTTCTGGGCATAAACGTGTTCCTCAACAAATGCTGTATTATAACCAGCTTTTAAAAGAGAAAACTCAAAATGATAAAAGTTAATAATGGGAGGGCTGTTGAAGCTAGACAGGAACATAAGATTTGTTAGTCTGAATACCACTGAGGGCTAGGCATGGTAGCCCTTGCCTAGTTCAGCACTAGTCTGGGCAACATAGTGAGACCCTGTCTCAATTTAAAAATATTGAAGTACACATATTATTTTTTACAATTAAAAAGAAAAAAATAAAATACAACTGAATTATTTTTTCTTGTCCATAAATGTTCCATGGGCTTGATCATGTTACCAGCTGAGGGAGAATTTCTGTGCCAAATTTCATCAATACATAGTTCAGAAGTTTTTGTTCTGTTTTGTTTTGTTTTTGAGACAGTCTTGCTCCATCACCTAGGCTGGAGTGCAGTGGTATGACTATGGCTCCCTGCAGGCTCAAGCAGTCCTCCCCACTCGGCCTCCCAAGTAGCTGGGACCACAGGTTGGTGCCACCACATCAGGTTTTTTTGGTTTTGTTTTTTTTGTAGGGATGGGATCTCTCTCTGTTGCCCAGGCTGGTCTCAAACTCCTGGGCTCAAGTGATCCTCCCGCCTCAGCCTCCCAAAGTCCTAGAATTACAGGTGTGAGCCACCACACCCAGCCTAGTTCAGAAGTTCTTAACCTCAGCTTTTTGTGACTTAAACAAAGAAATCTACAAATAGTTGATGCTAAGAACTATGTAACAGCTGGGCTATAGGGAATTTTCCCCCTACTGTTAGATTTAAAAGTTGAGAGAACCGCCGGGCGCGGTGGCTCACGCCTGTAATCCCAGCACTTTGGGAGGCCGAGGCGGGCGGATCACAAGGTCAGGAGATCGAGACCATGGTGAAACCCTGTCTCTACTAAAAAATAGAAAAAAATTAGCCGGGCGCAGTGGCGGGCGCCTGTAGTCCCAGCTACTGGGGAGGCTGAGGTAGGAGAATGGCGTGAACCCGGGAGGCGGAGCTTGCAGTGAGCCGAGATTGCGCCACTGCACTCCAGCCTGGGCGACAGAGCGAGACTCCGTCTCAAAAACAAAAAAAAAAAAAAAAAAAAAAAATGGCGTGAACCCGGAGGCGGAGCTTGCAGTGAGCCGAGATTGCGCCACTGCACTCCAGCCTGGGCGACAGAGCGAGACTCCTCGCTCAAAGCAAAAAAAAAAAAAAAAAAAAAAAAAAAAAAATGTTGAGAGAACCAAGGTACTGGCCGGCCAAAGGCATTAGTGAGAAAATAAGCATTTTTACAGAGACTAGGAATTTAATTAGGGTTCTAACAAATAGTTAATTATAGTAAGAAAAACCAAATTGAGTAATTTTCTAACCCACTTGGCAGTGGTGGTCTCGCAGACACAATGAACATCACATAATGAAGTTACTACTTTCCAGATCTATAAACAGGCTCATGTAACTAACTGATACTCAGTAAAATGGTTCACAGCTTTCTTAAAAATAAATTTGACTTAATTGTGACAGAAACAACCCAGTTTTTAAAAGCCTAAGGAAAAATACTATAGGGAAAAAATGAAAAGATCAACCTACAGGACTTTTGGTTTTCTTCATTCTCTTTGTATAACCGGTTTACTTTCTCTACCAGTTCCCATTTTTCACAACAGCCAGAATAGTTGACAAAATTCCGAGCCAGAATTTCCTTCAGCTGGCGCACGCTCATCCCTTCCACATCATCAAGGCTTGACAAGTCAGACAGCGAAGCTCTCGCTCTCTCCTTGGAGAGCCCGGGGTTCTGAAACCACAGAGCATCCATTAGCCCTGGTCCCACAAGTCCAGACCCTCCTCACTCTAAACTCATCACTGGCCCTGAATATTCTCCCAGTCATCTCAGCAGTCCTAGAAGTGTTTCAGTATACTGTCCTACATTCAAACCAGAAGAAACATCCTATTCTAATCTAGAGAAAGTCCACAGGGTACCCTCCCTTCCTGTCAGGTTGACATGTCAGGGAAACCAAATTTTATAGGTGGCCTCACCCGATCCTCCACGTTTTCTTCATCATCATCATCATCCTCCTCCTCCTCATCGTCGTCATCATCATCTTCCGTGTTTGCTGAAGTGATTTCACTTTGTACCTACACTTACACAATGTATCTCATTAGGTCAGGAATCAATCCGTATTTATCACTAGAGAAAACCTTGCCATCGACGCTCCCCATGATGACCAGAAAGCCAGCATAATCCACATCTTTGGATTCTGAATGCTGCTGAACCTTCCAAAGAGTTGGGTCTTTTTTTTTTTTTTTTTTTGAGACGGAGTCTTGCTTTGTCGCCCAGGCTGGAGTGCGGTGGCGCGATCTCGGCTCACTGCAAACTCCGCCTCCCGGGTTCATGCCATTCTCCTGCCTCAGCCTCCAAGTAGCTGGGACTACAGGCGCGCACCACCACGCCCGGCTAATTTTTTGTATTTTTAGTAGAGAGAGGGTTTCACCGTGTTAGCCACGATGGTCTTGATCTCCTGACCTTGTGATCCACCCACCTCGGCCTCCCAAAGTGCTGGGATTACAGGCGTCAGCCACCGCGCCCGGCCCAAGAGTTGGGTCTTACAAAATTGCATGAAGAACCTACCTTCCATAAAGTTAGCTCAAAACACAAATTCCTGTGTGTGTGTGTGTAAAGTTATAAAATCTAACCAAAGTATTGACTCTCTCAGGAAGGTCCCATAATGGAATGCCAAAGCCATTAAGGATATGCGACGGCACTGTGTCATTATCAAAGCACCTGTAAATGGCTAGTTTAACTGGAGCCTATAAGATGCAGACAGAAAAAAGCTAAAGCTCTTGACAGGTCAGCCCAAGCATCAGGGGCATCTGATTTTAAAGATCTCAGTCCTAACACAGCGTACTTAAGACAATCTAATTCCAATGAAGGCTTTCTAGACTTCACTGATAGCTGAGGCTAATTCTAGTTTTTAAAATTTCTCAATCAGAATGCTTTAGAAAAAACAAATCTCTTCAGTTTGGGTTATGTGCCTTCTTTCACATATTTTCTTTTGACTATATTTTGACAATAGCTCTACAATAAGCTAGGTCAGTTCCCAATTTCAAACATTCCACCCCAGCTCATGCCTGTAATCCCAGCACTTTGGGAGGCTGAGGCGGGTGGATCACAAGGTCAGAAGTTCAAGACCAGCCTGGCCAATATGGTGAAACCCTGTCTCTACTAAAAAAAAAAAAAAAATACAAACATTAGCTGGGCATGGTGGCATGTACCTGTAGTCCCAGCTCCTTGGCAGGCTGAGGCAGGAGAATGGCCTGAACCTGGGAGGTGGAGCTTGCAGTGAGCCAACATTGTGCCACTGCACTCCAGCCTGGGTGACAGAATAAGACTCTGTCTCAAAAAAAAAAAAAGTATGTGTGTATATATATGTATATATGTATACATACATATATACATACATATGTGTGTATATATACATATATGTGTATATATATACATATGTTTGTGTGTGTGTATATATTCCACCCCACTGATTCCCAGGTACCATATTGTAGCATCCAGCAATCCACACCACCCAAATGGTGGTGTATACCCAAAAGGAGTACGTAAGTCAGGTATGCCTTATGTTTGCAGCATAAATATGCCAATTCCCATTTGGGACAATAATAAAACTCCCCGCTTAGACTTATCTAATTGACGATTACAGTATGTGTTGCTTGACGACTAGGAGACATTCTGGGAAATGTGTCCCTAGGCGATTTTGTCATTGTGCAAACATCACAGTGTACTTCCACAAACCTAGATGGCTCAGCCTGCTACATACCTAGGCTATAGGGCATGGCCAGCTACAAAGCCATACATCACGTTAGTGTACTGAATACTGTAGGCAGCTATAACACAGTAATAAGTATTTGTGCATCTAAACATATCTAAACACAAAAAAGGTGAAATAAAAATATGGTATTATAATCTTACAGGACCACTGCTGGGTATGTGGTCTATCATTGACCAAAACATTATTAGAGGACACAGGACTATATCTAGAAGGCAGTTAGACCAAATTTCCCTCTGCATTTATTCATTTACTAATTAAAAGACACTCTTGGCCAGATGCGGTTGGCTCATGCCTGTAATCTTAGCACTTAGGCCAAGGCAGGTAGATCACCTGAGGTCAGGAGTTCGAGACCAGCCTGACCAATATGGTGAAACCCCATCTCTACTAAAAATACAAAAATTAACTGTGTGTAATCCTAGCTACTCGGAAGACTGAGGCAGGAGAATCACTTGAACCCAGTGGGATGGAGGTTGCAGTGAACTGAGATCTCGCCACTTCACTCCAGCCTGGGCAACAGAGTGAGACTCTGTTTCAAAAAAAAAAAAAAAGTCTTGCTATGTTGCCCAGGCTGGGGGTACAGTGGTTATTCACAGTTGTGATCATGGTACACCTGTAGCCTCATACTCCTGAACTAAAGCAATCCTCCTGCCTCAGCCTCCCAAGTATCAGATTGCAGGCTCACACCACCTCATCCAGCTTTCTTCTACTTTTAATAACCCCCTTCTTAGAAAAGAAAATTAAATGAGAAAAAATTTGTTCAAAACATTTCTTTCAGCAGTTTAGAATCACTCACGTACAAGTAAATATTAATTACAAGCCCTTACATGTTATTCAGTCAGGATGCCCAAGAACCTCATTGGGACAATATTATTAATTACAATCAGTAAATAGCTACATTTTTTCACTAATTCAGATGGCTCTTTCATTAACTAAATTAGAACAGTTTCACCGTAGCAAGGCAAATGGGCATGAGGCTAACTGACACTACTGATTGTTTTCTGTGGTCACTGAAACATCTGTACTAACACACAACACTACACGTGTGTATGTGCTGCTTTTTCACAGCCATTTCTTCAACAGTTAGTGTCTAACTGTATAAGATAGAGAAACTAAGGTAACTAAGGCCAAGAGACTGATGAGCTATTTTGGAACCCTTCAGACAGCAGACTTTGGAGCCACCTAGCACCTCAGCAGACACTATACATAGGACAGCCTTTAAGTGTAGAGTTCAGCTGGGTGTAGAAGGTCCACTCCAGCACATGACTTGAAGTTTATCAGAAGTTGTCAAGCACTAAAGGCCCCACCATATATGGCCAAGAGTAAGCGTGCCGGGCCCTGGGTGTCATTAGTTACTCCCTCGTACCTGTGCCGGCACTCCAGATCTGGACGTCTGGTCTCCATCCATAAGCTCTCCCTGAAACGAAGACATAGTAGCAGAGGGGGCGGTATAGTTTGAAAAAAACGAACGTGTAAAAAAGCTAGAAGTCTGGGACCTTGAAGAATTCAGACTGCTTGTGTCCATGTCGTCCTCAGAGCCTAGTCCATGATGGCACAGCACTAGATCCACCAAGTCTTCCTTCTCACGACAGGTATCTATGGGTATATTTCTCAGAATGAGATACTGCCGCAGGTCCTTCACCTTCAGTCGCATTAACTGAGGGCGCTGAAATGCTGTCTCTTGTAATAAGTGACAAGTAGAACATCTACGGAGATTTTCTTGTAAAACTGAACAAACGGAGCAAAAATCCTTCTTGCAGTCACAGCAAACATGCTGAAGAAAGAAAAGCATTTGATGATAGCAAAATATAAACCATTATGAAAACATGAGTTTTCTTTCTGCCTTCTATTAAAGTTTAATTTTAGTTCTTAGCAAAGTCCCCAATGGCACCAGACTATTTCCACAGGCATTTTCATGTTCCAAAAGCCATGAAAATCAAAATAATTCAATGCCAAGGCAGTCTGAATTCACAGAAGTTCTAATATAGGACTTTAAGAAAAACACACTCTTGTGTTAATGAATTAAAACCTTTCCACCCCTTGGTATAAACATGTAATTAACAAAACAGAGCTTGAACCACATAGAGCAGAAAGCATAATCACACTTCCTGGTCTTTTCCTACATGAACAATTTCCCCATTTAAAGAGCAGAAGACAAAAAGCATAACACAACCTGAGAGGGAAAGAGAAAGGCAACTGATCTCTCAAGGTCAATCCAAGAAAATACAGGACCCACTAATACAGTGATCGGTAAACTACACAGCCTAATCACAATCAAAGCCATGCCACTGCAGAAGCCTAAGAGGGCATTAAGATGTGGTTGTTTCCGCTCAGTGCATTGTTCCCACAAGCTAACATTTGTTTTTCCTTAAGTATTTCAAAAGACTAAACTAATGATCAAAGAGAACAAGGAGGCCTACCAATATGAGGTTCTCTGAATGACTATCTTAGTGAAAATAACTGTTAGCTAAGTATTTTATGTTGAATCTCTAAAGAGTAGTTAATTTATTGCATTCATTTCTTCATTTGAAAGTTAAGGTAAGGGATACTTTTTTGAAACTTGAATCTGAATCACAGTTACAGTAAATCATTTGTGAACAAAACTACAGACTAATAAATGTATTGCTTTAGGAAATAAACATCATCATGGAGAATAAAATGACACAAACAGGTCAAAGTTCAGGAGAAAGGATGCCTGAACATGAGACATGTCTAGTCAGAAAACTTGAGCGGTAATATAATCCCTCCAAATTAAGTACTTTTCTAGATGGAAAATGGCTAATGGAACTAAGCTTTTGATATTTTTACAAACAGAAATGAAAATTCACTAGCTATTCAAAATAACCTACAATCAAGAATTCTGACCCATGTGTCTTGTTATGTAACATTTCATCCAACTCACCTTCTTTCTAAAGACTGAAAATGAAAGTCCACAGGCTTTACAAACTATGTTGGGCCCTTCTGTAGCTGCTGGTGGGTAGGTGGAAAACTCAGGGTTTGGTGTAAATCTGAATGGACCGGTGGCTCCTGCAAATCCTGACTGCTGGCCTCTGACAGCTCCAGTTCCCATGACTTCATTCAGCAGCCCACAGCACGAAGCCCACATAGACGTGGCACCCGCCTGAAAAGGAACACAAATCCCACAGTTTAAAGCTAAGTGGAATCTGGGCTCTCTGGGATCCTCAGGGAATACTATTCTGGAGAGGTAAGTGTGCCCTCAATAACTTTGAGATTACTATATTCTTCTGGGCACTGAAATTTCAAGCCATTTGGAAAGAACTAATTTTCTGCTATTTCCAAAGAATATCTGGCATTGCCAATACCCATGATCTCTTGTTAAACAAAAGGAAAAGAGAACATGATCCAAATCTTATAAAACAAAAAACCTACATACCCACCCAAAACAGATACATGTACACATGCACGTTTAAAAAAAAAAAAAAAAAAAAAGACTGGATAAAAGTCTGTCCTCTGCTATATTTGGGATATGCATATACTTAAAATTCTTCATTTTTCATCTGAAATTCAAATTTTCCAGGCATGCTGTATTTTACCTGGCAACATTAGGCTGGTGGCCACTGCACTAGACACCACAGTTCTACAGTCTAAGGCAGATTTTCTCAGCTATTATTTAACAGAAAAAACATCAATTTGTTTATTTATTTAAAAACAGGGTCTCGCTCTGTCACCCAGGCTGGAGTGCAGTGGCACGATCTCAGCTCACTGCAACCTGCGCCTCCTGGGTTCAAGCAATTCTCCTGCCTCAGCCTCCCGAGTAGCTAGGATTACAGGCACACGCCACACACTCGGCTAATTTATTTTTAGTAGAGATGGGGTTTCACCATGTTGTCCAGGCTGTTCTCAAATGCCTGGCCTCAAGTGATCCGCCCACCTCGGCCTCCTAAAGTGCTGGGATTACAGGTGTGAGCCACTACGCCAGGCCTATAAATTTAAATTACTTCATTTCCTTAAACCTCTGTTTTTGCATTTGTAACTGAGTATAATATACTATGGGATATGTAAATAATTTTTTTAAATGACTAGGAAAACATCAAAACACCAACTGAAACTCTCTCTAGATTTTATTTATTTTTTTACCTGAAGTTGTAGACAAACCAGAATAGATTTTAATGTATTATGTGTAATTTATTTTCTCTGAAATTTTCTCTACTTTCCAAATTCTTTTTTTTTTCTTTTTTTTTTTTTTTGAGACAGAACTTCGCTCTTGTTGCCCAGACCGGAGTGCAATGGCACGATCTCGGTTAACTGCAACCTCCACCTCCCAGGATCAAGCGATTCTCCTGCCTCAGCCTCCCGAGTAACTGGGATTACAGGCACCTGCCATGTCCAGCTAATTTTTTGTATTTTTGGTAGACAACATGGGGCTTCACCATGTTGACCATGGCTGGTCTCGAACTCCTGACCTCAGGTGATCCACCCACCTCGGCCTCCCAAAGTGCTGGAATTACAGGCATGAGCCACCGTGCCCAGCCTCCTAGCTTTCAACGAGGGCCAAAGGCACAAGAATGGCTTGAATTTGGGAGGCAGAGATTGTCGTGATCCAAGATCACTCCACTGCACTCCAGGCTGGGCGACAGAGCGAGAGTCTGTCTCAAAATAAAAAAACAAAACAAAAAAAACAGCAACAACAGGAAAGTATTTTTTATTCTACCTTTTCAAACTGAAGATACTAAACATGATTTTTAATGACTTGATAAACATGATGACCTTCCAAGGCGTAAGGGCTATTTGCCACTCCACTAAATGGCCCAGAACTAATGTATTGCTTGCTATGGTTTTTTGCTTGTCTCTTCCCTCTCTCTGAGCCACCATGGCTATCACTATACCTGCCCAGAGTAACCTGTCTCTTTTTTAACTGCAGTCTCAGAAACCTGATAACCACAGTTGTTACAAGTATATATAAAAGAATAAATTTTCAGTGAGGGCCAAAGGCATTTTCCCATGCTTAAAATAAAAGCTACAGTGTTTAGAACGAATAGGCTTTTGCTCCTTGTCCTAATTCTTAAGCATATTCTAGAATCTAGATAATGTGATAGGTAATGGAAGTCGAGATAGCTGAGGTATTATTTAAAATGGCAGCACATAATAATACAGTTCCATTTATTTTATTATCTGATTCTGTCAAACATTTACTGTTTGTCCAGCAAGCTCTTAAAACAAAAACCAAATAAAAAGCCCTCAACCTTAAAAGGCAAAAGGCAATTTGGAATGCAAAAGAAGGATAAAGGCTGTTTCTGCTATTACCCAGAAGTAATGTTGTACTGTAAAGAACAAACCACAACACAAGGTTCAGTCTGAAGTATCAAAGCCAAGGATTTCAATATTATAAATCTTCACACCCTATAATTCTCAAGAAATAGTGATGCCTTTAAAAGTCAGATAAAGCTGTGCGCAGTGGCGCATGCCTGTAATCCCAGCACTTTGGGAGGCCAAGGCGAGTGGATCATGAGGTCAGGAGTTCAAGAGCAGTCTGGCCAACATAGTGAAGCCCCCTTCTCTACTAAAAATACAAAAATTAGTGGGCCAGGCACGGTGGCTCACGCCTGTAATCCTAGCACTTTGGGAGGCTGAGGCAGGCAGATCATGAGGTCAGGAGATCAAGACCATCCTGGCTAATAGGGTGAAACCCCGTCTCTACTAAAAATATAAAAAATTAACGAGGCGTAGTGGTGGGCGCCTGTAGTCCCAGCTACTCGGGAGGCTGAGGCAGGAGAATGGTGTGAACCCGGGGGGCGGACCTTGCCATGAGCTAAGATCGCGCCACTGTACTCCAGCCTGGGTGACAGAGCAAGACTCCATCTCAAAAAAAATTAATAATAATAAAGTTAGTGTTCTTTTAAGTAAAGGATTCATCCACAGTTCTTTAGAGTATGCACTCTTAAAACAACCGGAAAAACTTTGTTTTAAAACATTCAGTTTGCATGTTACATTTTTTGGGGAAAAAAATACTTCAACTGCAGAAAATACTCCCAGGATAAGCTTCGCTTCATTCCAGGAGTTAATAGAAGTGCAGTTTTGCAAAGCTTTAGCTTCCTACTAATGTAGCTACGAAACCAACAGCTCTCTCAGCTTGTATCCCCTTCTAATTCATGTCTGATGTTGCCTCCTGGACTATAGTGAAAGTTCCTCATGGACAAAAACTTATCTTTCTCCTGCTCCTCTTTCTACCGTCCTGTGACTGACAAATAACTGTGTAAAAAATTTCTATTATCTCTTCACAGGCAGTGTAACATTATTAAAATTTTACATGCTACTTAGAAAGTTCAAAATGTGTTTTTTGGTAAAGAAGACCAAAAATCTCAAATGACACTCTCTTTTAAAAGCAGCACTCTCAGAAATTATGACCTTTTTATCAGGGATAGTTTTACAATGAATTAGGGAAGGATACAATTTTTCAAACCATGTTAGTGAGTATGAGCATTAACATTCTAGGCTGAAATTTTTTTTTTTTCCAACTACACAGCTCTGGTAAAGGGAATAGAAGGACTTATTTTGGGAAAACAGATGGATTCCCTGTGTAGATACCAATTTTGGAGGGGGACAATTTTGTCCCATTCCTCATGTTTCTATACAAGGAAGGGAATTTCCTCTTGGTTCCCCAGAAAGAAAATGAAGAAAAACACTTAATTCAGCCACTTATTATAAAATAAAAATTTAAAACAGCCCAGGAATAGTGGCTCACACCTGTAATCCCAGCACTTTAGGTGGCCAAGGTGGGAGGATTGTTTGAGGCCAGGTCAAGACCAGCTGGGCAACAACAGGGAGACTCTATCTCTACAGAAAATACAATTAGCCAGGTGTGGTGGCATGTGCCTGTGGTCCCAGCTACTCGGAGGCTGAGGCAAAAGGATCGCTTGAGCCTGGAAGGTCAAAGCTATGGTGAGCTATGCTTACACCACCACATTCCAGCCCGGGTGACAGAGTGAGACTCTGTCTCAAAAACAAATAAACAAAAAAGCCCAAGTCAACCTCCAAAGTATCCCAGGCAAAAATGATGCTATAACCCAATATTTGGTACAACTCAGATACATATTAACTATTGTCAGCCAAATACTACAGAAATAGAAAGGAAAGAAGCAATCCTGAAAAATTCAGGTTGCACCCTCATTAGTATCTGTGAACTTAAATTTGGGCAAAATCTTCCAATGAAAGCATGATCTCCCAATGAGAGAATAACCTTAGCAAATCCACTTACAGTTATTCTCTCTGAGAGGAGCATTTGCAACACTCCAGCTTTCTGGAAAGTTCAGAAATTTGAAGCAGGGGAAGCCCCTGTCACTAGTTTATTTGAAGTATTTTTCTTTCCCATCCAGCTTTTTTTTTTTTTTTTTTTTTTTTTTTTTAAAGAGACAGAGTCTTGCTCTGTTGCCCAGGCTGGAGTGCAGTGGCACAATCTCGGCTCACTGCAACCTCTGCTTCCCGGGTTCAAGTGATTCTCCCGTTTCAGCCTCCCGAGTAGCCAAGATTACAGGCACACACCACCACACCCAGCTAATTTTTGTATTTTTAATAGAGACGGGGTTTCACCATGTTGGTTAGGCTGCTCTCAACTCCTGACCTCGTGATCCCCCCGCCTCAGCCTCCCAAAGTGCTGGGATTACAGGCATGAGCCACTGTGCCCGGCCCCATCCAGCATATTTGAAAATCTTAATTTCCATCTCCCCTTTAAGTCCCATGTTTCCTGGCATCCCAGTGCTGAAATGAACAGAATTTCTTTACATTCATTTCAGCACTGAGGTGCTAGGAAACACTGCCCCCGCTGCCCTTCGTTGGAAGGGGTGTTTTAGTCCTGTACCTTGGTAGCTGCTGTACCTCTTGCTAAGGGCTTGTCTAGGGTTGTGAAACTGCCCTTAAGAGAGTGCTTTTCAGCCTCGGCTGCACATTGGACTCACCAGGCAAGTCTTTAAAAATACTGATGCCTGGGGTCCCAGCCCCAGAGATTTTGATTTCACTGGTCTGTGGTACAGCCTGGGCACCAGAACTTTTTTGAAAACTCCCTGGGTAATTCTGATATACAGGCCAGGTTAAAAGCTTAAGACCTGCTCAGTCAAAGGGAAGATGTCTTCTTCCTGCCTATACTGTTTCAGCTGGAACATCACC